AATAAGAATACTTGTTGAGGGGTTTCCTTTATTGTCCCTGGTGATATTTAATCTATCACATTGGCGATTTTGATTGTTAAATAAAAAATTAAAATTAAATATATGCCACGTCCGAAAACCATCCCGAAAATTTTACATCCTTCATTAAGACGTTTCTACAACCTCTCCATGTATCGGTTTTAATATTTACTATACACGGTTAATAAATACAAAAAGCAATTAAAATAAGAAATACTATGTTTAATTCAAGAAGTAAGAATAATACCCGTTTTATAGACAGTAAAATACAGAGTTTCATTAACTGTATAAAAATGTAATTAAAGGAACACCGAAAGCATTTTGAGTGCCTTGACATTTTTGTAACATTTGCTTGGATTAATACTCGCTTCACCTACCCCTTTAAAGCAAAGCAGATTTTTATCACTCTTTTGTTAATCTATAAAAAAATTGGTACTTCGAATAAAGTATTCGTTGTCTGCAAACTTAAATGTCAAATATTATGCATCAAAGTTTCAAATAATACGTAAATGAATACTGTATGATTATCGATTATATCTTTTTTTTTACAATTCTTGAGATTATACTGCCCGATTTAAGCATGCTTGCCCTAATTGAAGAGCCGAATTCAGATATTTCGATGAGACGCGACGAACCGATTGTTAAGATAATTCCGTTATGCTCGTTGCGACTCAAGTAGGGTAGGCGATCCTGGGTCACCGGACGGTAGTTATCAAAATTCAAGGTAGGTATATCGTCATCAGCCCCGATAACGAAATCGGGACGCGTTGGCTCGCGGAAAGCTTAATGTAATATTCGCCGTGGCTAACATCCCTCAGGGCTAGTTGGTCCAGGGATGCGCGGGATAGGTAATTAATAACCCATCAGAGTTGGATCGATTGATTGCCAGGTAGGTACACTTATCGACTACTCCACGCAGATTCGTTATCACAGGACTCCTACCTTCCGTTAACGGAGAATCGGGTTAAATGATCAAACTATTCGGACCGGAGTGACGCGATCGAGAAGATGCCGAGTCCAGAACTTTGCGAGTCTTCGGTAAAGGAGGTGCCATTTCCCCTTCCGGGTTCTGAGCAATCAGTAATCGATGGAGGATCCGATCGAAGATTAAAACTTATCACGGGGATGGATCGGAATTATGATGAAAATGGTGGAAGGATATCCGCTCGGAGCAATTTGCCCCGTACGTTTTTTTCAATGAACGCAATATGAAGCGGATTGAAATTTCCAGTAATTGGTGGAAATAAAGAGTATCGATTAAAATTAAGGACATTCGTCCGGTTTGCGCTAGACATTGGAGGAAACCCTGCTTCATTAATTTTAACCATAAAAAATGAATGGGCGATGATTTTGCCTGCCCGTGATCGCGGCTATTCGGATTAAGTGATCCTTCGATATCGAGGCAAAGGTGTAATAACATTCGTTATTTTCTGCCTGAAAGGGCCAACGGCGAATCGCATTAATCGCTCCAGCTATTCCGACTGCAGTCACGCGATCGAGAGGATCCCAAATCCGGAAGTGGGTAACTGTTGCTCCGAGAAAGAGGTACCTCCTCGCTTCCTAATTCTGACGGATTGCAGATCGACGGCGCGCGTTTACGGCGTAACTTTAACTCCGACGGAAAATATAAATTGGAAAAGGAATCGCATCTTTTCCCGACTTCCGGTTAGATTACGAGCTTCGTATCGCACCTGACACGCGAGAACCACTATCACCTCGGATCTCGCAATGTTCCTTCTTAATTCCAAAGAACAGTCCCGAATTTAGCCCTTACCGCAAAAAGCTACCATCCCTCCGTACTTCCCATTCCATTCGGTCAAACCACAGTTACCAATTACAGCTCTAATTTCCTTACATTTCAATTTCTCCCCGACGAGGGCCGACGATCTCGAATATCACCGCAAATCCGAGAAATACAAAGTGAGCCGCGCTCGGGAATCACCCCGGAATCGCCCCAGCAGAACGCGGTGAAATATTTCCCCTTTGAAAACATCCGCGCGCTTTCGCCATGTCAGGTGCGTTAATGCTACGGGCTGGTGAAAAATTCCGTCCGAAAAAAAGAAGAGTCGAGGAAAGCAAGAAAAGTGCGCAAAACAAAAAAAAAAGAATAACCTCCCCTGGCGCAACGGAAATTGCGGACGATAAATCCTGGGGAATTCTCCGGGCCGTCCGAAGATACGGCAATTTTCCATAATTCAGCGAGCTCTAACGCTTCTCCGGGGCGCGTGCGGTCCGCGGTCCGCGGCCCGCGGACGAAATTCGGCCGCGACGGCGAAATTGGATGCCCGTACCGGCTTCCTGAATTTTCTACGCTAAGCCAACAGGAATCTTATTACGGATTTCGGGCTCTCGTACGACGGTACCGCGTATATAAGTGGGCCGAATGGCGAGTACCGAGCCGACGGGGAGAGTATAGGTCGGGCATTGCGGGACATTTATTGCGGAATTGCGCCCGGTGTACGCCGGGTTTGCATACGAAGGGGCAAGCGAGATACAGCGAACGCGCTCCACGTGCGCACTTGGGGAAGACGTTATCGGGCCCGGACTGTACACCGTAGACGCACCGCCTGCGCCGAAATCACCAATAACTCCGCAACCGTCGGCAATGTTCATTTACAAGCCCCCTGTCGGACCGTGTAACGGGATAAACGGTTTTAACGAAGACCACACACCCCGATTCCAGCCAGGGCGCGGAGTCCCCGCACTTCCGGGTCCCAATGCCCCCTTTTCCCTGCCCCCCGTGGCGTGTCGCCGGACGGTCGCATAATTACATGAAATTCGCGACAAGTACAAGTTGGCACCGAGGGCATTTCGCGATAAAGTCGGCGGGAGGTCGTTAAAAGTTCCGGCCTGTTCTGCGCGCACGTCATTTATGGTTATCGGGGATACGTCGATAGCTCCGCCATGAATTCGGCGGTGCACCGGATACGATATGTGTGCACTGTGCGATTTATTAATCCGTTTTTAGAGAAAGGACTCGTTAGAAACGGACTTAACCTTTAAGTGAACGTCTCAATGACTCCAGGAAACGATCATTTAGACATTGCTTTAGACCGAGGAAGGCTACGGCCACGCAACAGCTGATCGAATCCGTTCGGGTCGGAACAAACCAGGCCAGACCAGATCCGGCAGAAACAACTAATAAACGTGATATGTACCTTTCATAAACGTAGCTACACTTTATTCCCGGTCGATCCGATCTGATTCGATACGGACAAGATGTAACAGCGTCTATAAGAAATATGTTTGTCTCGGTTGAACCTAGTTTAGTCCGATCCGAACGGATCTAATCGGTCGCAGTGTAGCCGTAGCCTCGCGGAGTCCATGTTCGTGACGAAGACTACACCGGCTCGAAACGTAAATTCAAATATCCGCCCTTCCGAAAGCCTGGGCTCCGACTCGAAACAAACGCATAAATGTTACACGACATTCAATACACGAAATTCAGGAAAAGTTCTAATTGGCGCCGAGTGTGGCTAGGTCGTTAAAAGTGTTGGCCCGTTCTGCACATTTCCTCTCCGTGTACCCTGGCGGACGCGAATGCTTTCCCATCGTATACGAGCAGCGGAATATCCGTAAGGAAGGCATTCGGGTCCACCGGGGTACAATTATCGGTACAGGCCGCTATGGATCCATGGAACCGTTGCGCCGGATCGACAGAGTACGTACCGCGTCCTGTGCGAGTTATTCGACCGGCAAAAGAAATATAATTAGGGCCGACTTAACGCTCCACCTCAGCTCGCACGGCAAAGTCACCGATAGCTCCTTAACCGGCGGCAATGCTCATTTACAAGCGCCGTCCCGGACCGTGTAACCGGGTAAACGGTTTCAACGAAGACTCCGCCAGTTCCGTCCGGGACACGGAGTTGCCGCGCATTTGCGGAAGTTCCGGTGCCAGGTTTCGATGTTCCCTCCCGGTCTCCGGCCCCTCGGCAAGGCGTGTCGCTGAACGGGCGCGTAATTACATGAAATGCACGGGAGAAGTACAAGTTGGCGTCGAGTTCGCGTCGCCTAAATAAAACCCTCGCTGTCCGCGACGTCCCTCGTCAGGTGAATATCGCGAAAAGTTTCGGGGCTTGTCTGCCGCGTAAATATGTACGTACACAAGCCCGCCCGTCGGGCGGCCGCACCGGTGGATAAGCGCCGACTCTTTTTGAACCTCTCGTTCGCATTATGTACGCTTCTTACCGCTTGCCGTAAACATTAACAAAGGGGGACGGCATCGTACGAATAATCCGGAAGTCTCGGCAGACCCGTAGACGACTCCGGGTACAGGGTCGTTAAAACTTTCCGAACTTTCGCGCCGAAGACGGAACTCGTTGACTCGCCTCGCGGATTATAATGGTTACCGTAATCCCTCCCGTAATTTAAATAATTCCAATTTGGACCCGCCGAGACTTGACTCGAGGTCGAAATCCCTCCTCCTTTTTCGGAAACATCACTCGAACACCGTCGGTATTCCGACGAACAAATTCCCATCGTCTCTGCGATACCTATGTCAATTTCATTCGAGGCTTAAACGCTACTCAACGAGCCAAAGATGTACTTACCTCGCACCTCAACTATTAAGCTTTCAAAAATCAATCAAGTTATAGAGGAAATGATATACGAGTATTAACGTGTGGTACTTTCTTTTCCCCGAGTCTCAAGAGACGCAGAACGAAGCTCGCAGGGATAACGCGATCTATCGTCCTGATGATCGTACATGCGTCAAAATCTTGCGGAAATGTTCGATCCGCGAGTACTTGTCAAGCTGGTTAAAGTAAATCGATAGATCCTTGACCCACTGAGGTTTACGAATCTCGAGTTGAAAATCTTCTAAAAATCCTAGAGGAATATCTGTGTCGCTACTGCAGCGATTCCCATGGAAATAAGAGTCTTGACAAGATGCCGCATAAACTGACAATGTTTGCGGGTTTCGAAAACGATAACGCGCGAGAGAACGTAGGATAGCGATCGAGTCGTAAGAAAGAAAACGTTACCTCCCTATTCCCGATCCGGTGGCGTCCACCTTGGAGCGTGCGTTTCCGATCTGCGACTGGATCTGCGCCAAGTTAGCTGATTGGACGGCTATCCTGGTGTACACATCTTTTTCCACTGGCACGTCCTCGACGTTCGCCACGATAGGTTTTTCCTCCCGGTCGTAGCCTACGTCAGCGCGATAGCCATCGACGTCGATTACGTAGTTAACGGTTTGTAAACTACCGTCTGGTAAGGCCGGAGGCAAGTGTCGAGCAGACATCCTCGGGAAATCACCGTATTTCCGTCCGAACGAGATCCTGTCCGGTTTCGCTTCGAAATTCGTTAGCTCCCAAAATATCTGCCAATAGAAACCACCATTAACGTCCTTCCGCAAACGTATCAAATTTCCGGATAACGAACTGGAGGACGCTGCAATTAAATTAAAGTCCCTGTCTTAGTATAAGTTCAGCAGCGGTCAATAAATTCAACGTTAACGCGTTAAACGCGCAGTTAATTTTATTTTACTTCCCACTCAGGTGGCACAATTTCTTTTTATACAGAATTGATGCTATGCCCACAGAGACCAACGGTGCGTTTAATCGTCAAACGGAAATCGTGTCGTGTTGACTCAACGTTCTCGTATCGTTAATATGTATAAAAATAAAAATGCTTCTCTTCAAGGAACGGATTCGCATTGTTTTCTTTCCGCCTATTATTAACCGCAACTATCTACGTGAGAAAGTCGTAAATTGCCAAACTGCATACCCTGACTGCAGATTTATGATATGACGACCTCTCATCGCAATGACCCAATTTCTGATTAAAGTTAACGCGTTAATTTTGCTTTGCTCCTGCTTTATATAAATTCCTGAAGAAGCCTCCCTTGCTGTGTGCGTGACACTTCTTAGAGAGTTGTTAATCCTTGGGAGTCGAGTGTTAATAAAGTTGCATAACACTCTAAAGTTTCGCGTTCTCGTTTTATCCCGCGTGCCCGTAATACCGTAATCCATTATTAGCTGCTGGATAATCGCTCATTATTACTCCCCAGCGCACACTGCCAATAAACCAATAATCGAATGACCTAATGTAATCCATTGTTAGAGGCTGCTCAAGTCATGCGAAAAATAACAAGCCGCGATGGTTTTCGGTACACCATGGAATGACACCGATTCAATCAACCTCATACGGACAGATATAAAATCATTCTATAAATCATGTTGTACGAGTACGCTGAGGTGAAAAATACATTAACATAATGAGTAATAATATAAAAATTCGTGTATTATAAATTCAATATTACCTGGCGAAAATTAACTTTGTGCTCTGCCATCCAAGACGTATCGAGCAATACTAACGCACTCCAAGAAATTCGTAAACATACAACGTGGACAAACGAGGGTTTAGTAACCAGCCATGTTTACTTTTTTTTAACTCGTCTCCAACTTTGTATCCATTCAAGCCCTAATATCTCTTCTATTTACTAAATGTAGAGACGCGAACTTAATACAGGTATCTATGTTTCTATTTCTCTACATTTCTACAAGAAGCAAAATTAAGTATACACTTGGAAAAGTGCATCAACTTTTATTTAAAGGTTAACCAAACATGTAACGAGTGCGTTCATTTTATACCACGCCCAGTTAGAGGTTAATTAATTCCGAGTTTGAAAAGGAAAATATTTACGAGTCAGAAATTAAAATTTTAATTACTATAAAATCTTCTGTTAGTTTCCGAGTATACGGTAAAAGGTACATTTTTTGGATAAAGTAAAATATTAAAACAGGCACCGTTTAATTTAGAATAATATTCAAAAACATATTTGATTTTAAAGCATAAAAGAAACTAAAATTTCTAATCCTGAGACTTAATATAGGTATTTTCTTTAGTCGCCAACTTCGCGATATTTCTTGTGTGTCTGAAAAATTGTCTCCTCGTTAGTCGGCACAAAAGTGATCAAAATCCTCGAAACGTCTAGCTACTACAGAATGTAGCAGCCATTTGCTTCGCAGTGAGACGAATTTTAGGCAATTTCCCGTAGTGTGTTGCAGGTCTCCCTCTGCAACTCCCGATTCAACTATCGATCTTTGGCTCGTGCCGTTCGTTCTCTCGATAAAAATCGTCGCGGAAACTACGCCAATAAAGCGATCGCGTCGACCATTTCTCGAGCTCTCTCGAACGCGCTTTAAAAGTAATTCATCTTGCAGGCTCTGGTAAATGCTCTCACTGAGCTTCTGGTGTTTTCACAAGCCGAAACCGATAGGGTCCTCGCCATTTTCTACCGACGTGGATTAGAGTAAACATAGTACAGACAGAAGTACCTCTATTGGCATTAGTTTAAAAGCACGTACATGGAATTGAATCTCCCAATTTTTTTCACGGATTAATAGAATCTTCCATATCGATACCGCACGATTGATTTTTCAGTCCGTCCATTACGAGGACCGTGGGAAGAAAAATGATCTTCCATCCGGGTGATAACACGTATTGCAATTTTCGGGAAAACGAATTACCTTCGTTTTAAACGAACAGAAAATGAACCCCAATACTTGACGTGACGAGCTATAAGCAAATTAAGTAACCGTGCTTTCGATACTCTCGCATTTTCGAAGAAACTGATTTACAAGGCATTTGAGCGATAAAATGAATTATGGAATTCATTTTATCCGCGAATGTGTAATCACAGCTTACGTAATATCTATTCCTTCGCGTATCTATAAATGTCCATATGCAAGAATCCATTGAAAATTCCTATTTTTGCCTGTCCACCTGACGTCTCTGCAAACTTCAACGAATCTTTACCGAACCGCTCTCTGAACGCTCTGACACTAGCAGATCCGACTCGCAAACATTTGCAAATTGGCGTACCGAGGAATTACGGCATCTTCGGATCTAAGACCTCCCTCGGAGGCCTTCTACCCGGTTAAGATCGCTACATAGGCAGGGGGCCGTATCGAATTGAACGGATGAGGCAGGGGTGTCGATTGGGACACTCCGTCGGGAATCCGCGTTCCGGCACGAACGACTCGATCGATCCCAAGCCGCGGTGGATTACGAAGAGACCGGAGAGATAAAGAGCCCGAAACAATAGATTCGCTCAGCGTCCGTGAGAAGGAACGACCGATGTATACACCTAAACCTGAAATCCCGCACTGAATCGTCGGGCCTGCAACTGGTACGAACGTAAAGGCCGTCGACTGGTCGCGGATCGATCCCGGAACCGAAGGTCGGACCTGGACGAAAGCTCCGCTTTAATTTCCTCGAAGGTGCGATATCCCCGAAACATTCCACAAACGCGAGAATGCACTTCAGCCGAAATAGGTGTGCCTGATTAAGCCGAAACCTAAAAAGTTGAGCTTAACGATGGAAATGTTAGACGCCGAGACGAGAACTTTAAACGTTACTCATTTGGCACACGAGGTATCCTGGCGGACATGAATGTCTTTACATCGTGCAAACCATATTCGCAGGCAAAGCATTCATATCTACTACTGTATCTAACGGAGAACTTGATAAGAAATTCCTAATGAATTTGTTGAGTTTTTATGGTTGCCCACGATGATTTAGCCGGATGGCAATTAATAACCACGTATACTTCGTGCGGATAATTGTTTATATTTCTGCACGTCTTTGTTATTAAACGAGTTCTACCGACCATCGTCAAAGACAGCCGAAACCATTAACCTGCAAAGCGCGATACAGTACTTTGCGTCGTAGGGCATTTTACGATTTCGCGTGCCCTATATGTTAAAATAATATTGTAATACAATTTTGTATGACATGATAGCAGGCGTAAGTTCGCATGTTGTGAAAGGGAACCGTTTCGGAAAGTGAAACGTATCCGTTCTTTTTTTAAATTAATTACTACATAGATCCATCGTTATGTTTTGATATTAACATAATTTGCGTAAACGTTTTCGCTAGTGATAGCATAAGAGCACTTCGTAAATAAATGATTAAGAGTAATGAATAATATTGAATAATTCTCAACTTAGAAATTTCACTCCCCATGTACCGATTTTGATAAATTATATCATATTCAAGTAATAGAGGGATAAGATGTAAAATTATGATATAGAGTGCTGTAAGTCGGTTTGAATAGTCGTTTTGCGGTTGACGAGTCGCCCTTCGGTAAAGCACCGGCGGAATGAACGTGATTTAATTTACTCGTTGCTCTTAGTTTAATGTAATTGTAGGTAATGCGGAGAATAATTTCTCTGGTTGCGAGGACAAGAAGAATGTTGCATGCGATTAAGCTGGTGCATAATCCGTGCGTGCATGCAATACCTGAGTGTTGTAAGTCGTCGTAAGCTCATTATGGAATCTGTTTTGCAAGGAAAAATCCCATTAAACCCTGTCTCTGAAACAAGCAGGCGATTCTAACCAAACCATTGCACGTTACGTGTTTCAATTTATTACTTATTATTTTTACGTAATAAACTTAAGCATAACTTCTAATTTTAAGTTTAAACGGGATTATTGATGCAAGATTCAATCCTGGGGCCACGTTTATTTCTTTATAAACTAGATCATTTAATTGAAAGTAATTCTCACTAATGAGAAACGTGTGGTGTAAGTATTACTTAACTACAGAACCTCACGTGTTGAAGATGTACGTCATGAGTCATTAAACTCTGACAACTCCATCGGTCCATCTTAATCGCGTAATCGATCCGATGGCTACATACTCTACCTCGCATCTTTTCTACAGTTAATTGTAATGCGGTCTTTTTTCAGGAAGAATGCCAGAACGGATCCAACGGAATCGTCGAAGAGTCGGGAGAGTCGGAATAGAATTCCGATCAACGTCTGTCAGTAGAATGAACGAACGCGAAGGTAACGAAGACTGTCTGTGTGCGAATGGATTGGGCAGCCCTCCATTTAATTGACGAGTACGACAATACGATTGTTCGCGTAAGACGATTATCGGATTCCGAGTGGGTAATGACCAACCACGGAAATACTCAGCTCTAGAAACGATTCAATTAATTCGCCATTGTTTCGCAGCTGGGCGACTGTATTTTAAACAAGTAATCTTAACACGCAAATGACAACATTAGTAGAAAGAAATTTAATCGGCGTTAACCAGCGTTACGCTTTTCTACCGCGATTAATAATTACAAGCTATCAATTGTAACAGATCTTGGGATTGATTGAAATGAGAAAAGGACCGAAAAGTTAAAAATTCAAAGATGCGAGAAGTAAGTCTGAACGAGTTATAAGAAATTAGCTTCTTAATACTTCTCCGTGAAAACTTTCAACTCTTTATACAATTTGAATTGTAAAAGTATTCATTTCGAAGGAAGCACTTGAATTTCGAAATTAACGAGGTTTCTGACTAAAACTGTAAAGCACGTGTAATCTATTGGTGTTTAATATTTTGTAGCGTTCTTCCGGTAGGGATCATTTAATGAGGAAAAAAAACGGCTAATTTTTTCAGATTCTGATACGATATTATATTCTTGACAATTAGTTGATGTTTCAACGTGACCCATTATTTAGTGCTCCATTGAAGTACCTACATTGAAAGCTCCGATATCCAAAAATATTATTATTAACCGTGTAGTGATTTCAGTCACGGTAAAATATTCCGGAACGAAAATACCGCCAGGCAAGATATTAATATTTAACGAAGTAAGCAGCAACTACGAAACAGTTTCCAAGTGCAACACATTATTACTCTCCCTCCTATAACCAAAACCCCGTAGGGAAAAGCTGTAAATGGAGTGAAATGCTTCCTAACTTATTTATGAAACAAAAACATACTTCAACATATTATTGTAACTAATATTATTCTGCCTTCTGTAACACAAGATTTATTTTTAAAAAACGATTTGACATATTTTAAGAGCGTTATCCTCCATAATTGGTAAAGTGTATTGCGTTCATTTGAAAACAAAAAATATATTAAAACTTTGAACTTATTTCTATCTAATGCTTCTCTCTCTATGTGGCGTATATAAAAACCATTGCGTCGTGGCAATCACTGTACATAATTTGTGATATACCATACCTGTTTCACCTTGTCTATTTTGATCCTCTTTAAGAACGCGTATGAATGCTCGCGTAAAACATATCGACTGTTCATCGGACTATTGGATGTGGGAAGTTAAATTTAGTCAGTAAGGAACACTTGGAGTCAGAGAGCTACCGGCACACAACACGCACGGTACTTCTAGTAACGAGAAATAAGTGCACTGGCGAAAGGAAAGCTTGAGAAAAGCCAAGCAAGTAAAACAACGCAAAAATATTGTGCTAATGATGTAAACAAGTTTCTGCAAAGAGTAGTTCCCTCTCAGCTGACCTTTTTCAGTAATTACATGCAAATATGAAAATGTGAGTTGGGATGGAAATAATTATTACGGAAGTACGTGCGAGAAGAGTCACAGTTGGTTAACTTCATTAAATGGGACCTGCAATAATTCATGTCCGCAAAACGTGAAATGTGATCGAGTATTAATGTCCCAATAAATCGCAAGTCTCGGTACCGGTTAATCCAAGCGGTGGTCGAAATAATTGAGACTTCTTCGAGTACTCCACGTCCATACCGGGTGAAATGAATTAATTCTTAACACCCCACGTCGCAATGTGCGTTTACTGCAATTGTCCACCGCAGATTCGCGGGAAGTACCGCGGAGAATCGATTAAAGCGAGAGAGTAATCATTCGCCGAATCAAATTCGAGCGATTAGCCCCAATTGCTACTCCGAAAGGATAACCACTTCGAATTAGACTCCATCTCGCGGAGCAGCCAATCGCACGTTGTCGGCTGTCTAAAAAGCAACGATATAATTAATGGCGCGGAATTGAAATTACAGGTCTCCACGAGCAATTCCATTGTCGACCCATATTCGATGCGGAAACCGATTTCGCGCTCGGTCAATTCACTTAAAATTCAACGCAGAGCGCAGCTCTTCGCACCGCAATGCCAAGTACGGAACTTTCCTCGGTATTCCGAGCTCCCCGAGTTTCCTAGGATTTTTCGGTTTTTCGCTTTCCCGTAGAAAGCTCGCAAAGCTGCGCACGGCTATTCCGCTGCGCTTCGAGCGGACGGACCGTGCAAATTCCCCTGCGCAGCCGCAAAACGGGGAGACGTCCGCCGCTGCAAAGATTACTTATTTCATTAGCGTAACTAGGGTATGCTTTGTGAAAACGTCGGGAGAGAACGGATGTGAAAGACTCATGCACACGCACCGTTGGCAATTCATGCCGAGTGACCCACGCTGGTCGAAACTGCACGTGGCAGTGCACATACTTTTCCCAGGATTTATTCTTTCCCGTGCACATTATACCGCTGGAAATAATAAGAGACTTCAACGAAGACTCATTCGGGACAAGCTTCTAGGAGTATCATCGGATTTAGCGATGATCGCCATGAGAAATATCCTGCAGCTTTTTTGCAGACTCATTTGTTATGAATTTCCAACGTGCCTTAGATGGAGAAGTAAATTAATTTATACTTGATTGAAAAAAAAAATAAAGGAAACAAAGACACATCAGAGATTGTATGGAAATCTTCTCCCTTTAATCTTCCTCCGCTTCTCCCGCTCCCTTCTTTGCACATCGACATGTCGGGCATCAACAGCGAAGCTGCGAAAAGTAAGCAAATGCAAAACGAAAGCTCGTGGCCTAAAGCTGAGGCCAAAATTGATCAAAAGTGTCGAGTTGCCCCCAAACGAAGTGCAGGTGTACAGCGCTTCAGACCCGAGTAGACGGGCAGATAAAACGAGTGTCATTAAAAGCGTACCATAATGGAAGTTCAGCGAAATTATTTCGCCAAATATCGCAAAAAGCGCCGACGAAAGTCTGGAAGCGGGGTGTATTGAATAACGCGTTACCGTCATTACGTGCACGTTCCGCCCTATGAAACTGATTTTTGCGTCTCTCGCGGCCGCTTTTGCGCGTTTACCCGTCGATCTTCAAAAGTCGAGACGCAAAAAAGGGAAAGGAAAAATTTCCCGAGACGAAAGATTCTCACCTGGAGTCTGGGGATTTTTAGCGAGAAATTTTTCGGTTCCAACCACAGCCAAACGTTATTCGCGCGTGAACGTCGTAGCCCAACGTGGACCGTGAAAACCTTTGGAAACGTCATATTTATTGGAAGCTCGGGGAAAAATCGAGAGTGAAAGGAGGGATGAAATGGAAAAGAGGGAAGCAGGAGGGTGAAAGGAGCAGACGCTGTTTCGGCACAATTCGAGCGCATAAGCTTACTTCAAACGAGTACGTTTCAAAAGATCTGTACGACAGAGTCCGTATTAGTTACAAGTCCTCACAGAGACTCGCTTATGTGAGGCCACATTTGCGCGAATGTAAGTGGAAGTGAATGTACGCCCTGTGAAAATAATACGACCCAATCTGTCGGCGGAACCCCCTGCGAAAAGGACGCGCTCGCGCCATTATGGCGGCCGCGCATTTGTGCGAACCTGAGAGACGGTGCAAAAGAATTCCGTCGAGGGGGTCGAGTCATCGTACATGCGAAACATTTTCCCGTCAACCTTCTTGGGATGCACGACTTCGATGAGACGTAATGCAAAGTGCGACATATGCACGTAAATAGGGGACCAAACCTCATTGCAGGCTTTTCTCGAAAGGAGGATCCAAGAGGCAAATTTTTAATTTAAATTTTTTAATTTAACGAATATCGAAATATAATAATACATTTGCAATTGTTAACTCGACTGCTAGCCGCCGTACAATTTTTTGAGGATCGAATTGTTTGAACCAACCGAGGGCGACTATCGCAAAAGAGGATTGATATATCTTGGACGCCATTGTGTGGTATTTAGCTTACATGGGTCATGTCAATCGCCAAGCACTTTGTAATTGCTCTGTACGATTTATACACGTCATCAGTCCCGTGATGGCACTTGAGGAGGCAAACGTTCCATCCAGTAAGCCGTGCACCCACGATAAGTGTACTCGCGTGTTTCTCGAGCAAAGGAGGCAGCGATAGAACGCAAGGGTGAAGAGAGGAAAACGAATGGAGTGTGTAAACAGCCTTCAAACGGCCGTTGTGCGGTTGATATTGTGAAAAGTTTATACGAGCTGGGATATAAGTTACAGATTTTCGCAAACATCTCTGTACTCCCTGAACCAATGGAAACTTTGAATAAACTCACATGAGCTGATTTACGTGGACGCGGCCAGTTTGACCTCACGTGCATCGTGGACGCAGGAAAACGAAATTTCTGTTTGCAGGCGTAACTTCCCTGTTGCTTTAGGAAAACCCTTCAACTCTCTAGGACCTGACGATTATTAATGACGAAATTATTCCCGACGAGTACGCGATCGACTCCAGTGATACATGCGGCGTGCGCGTTCGCCTTATACCAGGACATTGCATGTGTATATTATTTTCAATTTTAATTTCCCGTTCCTTCGCATTTCAAAGAGGTACTCTCCATCACCGAGGAAGCACCTTAAAGGAATGAAACGTTTAGAGGTAGTTCGTTGCTTATGAACGATGCTCTCCCCTTCTGCTCTAAAATCTATTTCTTCCTTTATTAAAGAAACTCCCCATTCAAATCTAAATAGACGCGGAGATTAGCATGTAAAATGGCAACTGCAACTTGTATGAAATGGGCTTCAGGAAGACATCCCGGAAAATAGGTACACCGTGAGAGCAAGACAAATAAATAAGATTCCCGTCTTACAACTATCATGCTTCATTACGCAGATATCAACTTAACGTTGTCAATAAGGAGCTAATTAGTCATTCGATTCCGCGTAGGTGTCGTGTTACAGAAATATTTCAAGAAATCGACAAAGAACTATCTGGCGTTTCAACCTATCGCTTATTGTCAATTTATTAATATTTTATATTGTATTTAACTGATAATATGCCGCAAAATAATAATTACCGGTTATAATAATATTTAATACATCTTTACTCTGAGCAACTGGAACGTATCGTCTACGGAAGAAATCCGCTCTATAGGAAAAGATAATTTAAAATACGCAGATTTAAAATGAAGAATTGTTTAAGATGGCGAGGCTGCGAGACTGCAACAGAAAGGGTCTGTTTGCGAAACCTATGAAGTATTAAAGCAGAGGTGGAATGGTTTCAGGGCACTTTAGAAGTTAATCCGAGCCCGGAGCTGTTGCCCACAAAGCCGGAGGTCAGGAAGGCTGGTGGATAAAAAAACTGTTTGTTCAAGCCACCAACTGGACTGTCCGAAGTGCCGCCGTTTTTTTTTTTTTCTTTTTTTCCGTGGGACAACCAAATGGAAGGTTGCATTTCATTATTGTGTAGTACTCCTCATCGGACTCATTTGCGCGACGCTGTTTTAAAGACGCTTCGCACCAACTACAATTCCCAGTACTTCAATGAGTCCGCGGATAACGATAATGACGTTACCGGCTCAAACTTAGAAATTGGTATCTTATTACGGGAAACATGAAAACTGTACAGCCCTTCGGATATAGGTCGAATTTCAAATGAGAATTAATTTGATTTATTTATTATCGCGATGCAAAATTGTTCGGGGCTCTGAGCAAACTTGCTATTTATTCAAATGTATACAGAGAGGAAGCGACTTCCCGGACACCATTTGTAAAGCAGATGAAGTTTGGCAACTTACTAAATGTAGTATTCGGACATATATTAATTTATTATTTTTCTGACCGAGTTTTCAATGCGCTTAAGCATTTATATTTAGCAGGATTTGGTTTATCGTCTACAACTGTTGTCGCATGGAATCATAATATTCTTACTTATTTTCGAACCAATCGCACAAATCGTGCAGAACATTTCTGACACCAAGATATTAAAAAACACGTGAATATTCTCCACACTTAGCATGGAAAAGCACTTTGTTGATGTTAGTGTAATTGTAATAATTAATTTAACTTTACGAAGCTTCGATGCGCGATAACCTCCTGTAACCTAAAATAATGCAGTACCTACCTTATTATTCAGGACTTTTACATCTCCAGAATTATAATAAAGGTATAATTGATAAAGAAAAGAAAAAAATAATAACAACACATTCTTAAAGTGATATGAAAGAGTCAGCCCATATATATCAGATGGGAAAATATAAAAAATACTTTCACCAACGATTGCAAGAGAATGCTGGCTTGTCCTGGGGCTACACGTATTTTTAGAGCAAAAATTGACAAACTCGCGGCGTAGAACACCTAATAATTTACTGTAAAAGAAAAGAATATGCAAATTACCTAGGGTATTAAGAAACTCGTAGCGTTGAGCAATGCGAGAAACGCGCCCTGCGCGTTATTTTACTTATTCAACCCTGAGACATAGTCCGTGCTTCGTAACTTTCAGAACAGTGAAACAGCGCTGCCACAGTGAAACTTGAATGAGAAAACGGCATATGTCGGTAACGTAGAGCTCTAAATGCTGATTTACTTATATTTACCTACAGGAAGTCGATGATATATCGGAACTCCCGTACCCCCGTAATATCAACCAATGGTAATATATTACTATCTAATAATAAAATCAGCGAATTGAATCGATAGCTGTGCCATTTTTCTAACATACAGAAATCTTCTAGCTCGACTTCGTCTACATTTTCCCGTGTGAAATTCCCTCTAGTAACTCATATCCTGGAGAGCCGAAGGTGGCTGCTCTGACATTCTTTCTGTTTAAAGCATTTCCTAAGATCCGTGACTCTTCTAGTTCCCCGGAAAAACTTTGGTACACCCGCTCAAGGCGAGTGGGGAAATCAATAAGGTAACTGTGTTCAGTTCGCAAATGGCAAGCATTTAACCGCGTGCAACTATCGTAACCGCAAGGTTTGCATTATCAGAAAGTACCATGCGGGATTTCGAGGCCTATTTGAACAACTGATTCTAACATAATTACTCAGTGACAACGACAGCCAGACGTGTTTCCATACGTCAGCGAGAAAATTTACGAAATGTAGAAAACTGAACAGTTTCGTCAACAGCTAGTGTCAACGAAACATGCCGAAAATTAGTGAACCTACAGACTCCTGACGGTTCCTGAAAGTGCTTTAAGCTAAGTGCTGATATGCCCAAAGATGTCACTCGATCGAAGGACTTTTCTATGCTGCCTGGGTCTTTATGCTCTTTTCCTACAACTCGACCTAGGTGAAAGTACTCACATAACGGGCACCTTCGAAACCAAGGAGTTCTTTCGATTTCTTATGAAGTTCGGCTTTCAAAAGACTGACAGACATCACCAGAGGGATTCCTATGGGTATATCTTTGGGAACGTCACATCTCGGTCCAATTTTTCTGTGCCAATTACTCTGGCAGTTCTCGATCGGGGCCATTTCTTGGAATATTATGGAAATCGTACCATTCGTGATAAGAGCACCGCATGTGCATTAATGTTCGAAGCATTAAATCAGACTTCTTATGATATGCACTGCAACGACGAGGGCCAAGACTTTTTAAGGTATGTTACATTGCATGTTAAATTTCTTTATCTAGACAATTAAATTAAACTTAAAGGTATTGATTCTTTACAGAAGAGTACCTTGCCCACTTGGGAAATTATGTCCAGATGAGGATTCCATTTGGAATGTAGTCAAAGGACATCAGTTCACATATGTCATCCAAGATCTGTGGCAACCACGGTTTTGGTACATAAGTTTAGTCGCGTGTTACAGAAATACCACCACTTGTCAGTGGGAGCATTACCAACAGCACGATGAATTAGATTACGATATCTGGCTTGTAAATGGCAATCCTAACACCAGCGGTTTAAATAGTTTTACTTACCAGTTTTCATACGACAGGCAAAACACCATTGAACTTTACTTACTGTTTTTTATGTGCTATATCATGCTAGTACCAATGCAACTATATGCAGTTAGAATGCAAAGGCATCCTGTTACAAGGCTATTTACAGCAAGTTTATTGTTAGAATTTATCGCAGTATGTTTAATTTTAATACATGTACTCAAATTTGCCCTTGATGGTGTTGGGTATGAACCATTAGAGGTTGCAGGAGACATTTTTGATATTTTATCTCGGGTAAGAAATCTATTAATATACCAGTTGTGTTTAATAAATACGACTTTATTAATACTAAAGTAAATAAAAAAATAAAGGCAAGTCAAGGAATTATACTTACAAATTGCCTTTACTATTCTATTTACTCTAATAATTATGCAAATAATATTTGGTTAATTTTAATTACGAATTTTTTTATTCAGACATCTTTTATGCTGCTTTTACTACTACTGGCTAAAGGATGGGCTGTCACAAGAATGGAACTAACATGGAAACCGTTAGTGTTTGCCATTTGGTTGTGTTATGGGATTGTACACATTTTATTATATGTATGGAATATGGTATGTACTACTATTTTACATTGTAAATGAAAATATTTTATATTTTATGACATCATTGAAGTAATACCAACTCTATATATTTACAGACTGAAGTTGATATCATTGAAGACATAGATGAGTACCAAACGTGGCCAGGGTGGTTCATACTTTTATTTCGCAGTGTCATAATGGTGTGGTTTTTATATGAGCTGCGCAACACAATGACTTATGAACACAATACACAAAAATTAAATTTCTTACTTCATTTTGGTGCATCATCTCTAGTTTGGTTTATATATTTACCCATTATTGCACTTATAGCTCTTCAAGTGAGTGCATTGTGGAGGTTTAAACTTCTGCTTGGTGAGTCGACCGATATGACTATTGTCGAAAATATAGAAGTCTTCAATTAATTAAATCCTTTGTAATCTGTTATAACAAATTTTTGTTTTCTATATACTTATATTATCTTCTTCCATACAGGAATAACATATTCTGCAGACTGTTTCGCTTACTGTGTGATGGCACACTTGTTATGGCCAACTCGAAGTGAACAGTATTTTCTACTTGCACAAGGTGCTGACAATGGTGATGAACTTGATGAGTTCAATGAAGCACCACATGTACTAAATAATTACGTGGAACCTCCAGAACTTAGTAAAATAATTGCCTAATGTTAACATAAGGTAACAAATGGCATAAATTGTTTTAAAGAAGAATTGGCGCAAATTAACGATGATATGATGTAAGATTGCCAAATGTTCAAAAACGATAAAACATGATCTGCGCTATTTGAGACTGAAGTACCTTACACATGTTTTGATCTAACTATAACTGTCCTATTTGATCATTACACCACACTTCAAATAGACTTAAGAAATTAGATTGATAGTAAACCTGACTGAATCAAGATTAATATCAACAGATCAGCACCTCTTGCTATGCGCAAACCTGTTTTATAATTGCCTAAGAACTATTATTTTTTAGAAAATAACAATTACTTCTGCAATACTAGTTAACGATGTACATATGCGTATGCATTGATATAAATTATATGGGATACGTATTAGCGCAAGTAATTTATGATTTACTGGCATAGGGCTGTGTATATCGAAATTTATGAATTGTGAATAGAGAGCGAAGAATTATATTGCATGCACAGTCTGTGTTTGTAGAGTGTATTGCAGAATGTATTGAATTTGTTAGTGAACACTGTCTAACAGTGGTAAATTATACTTGTCTTAATATTCAGTATACTTTAATGAATATAGCCAGTATGGTGCTTTCATACAGAAAAACTTGATGTACAATTTATTCAAAGGTCTTTTAATTAAATTAATTATTTATAATTCAGGGTGTCGTGATATGCAAATTAAATCGACTTCGGTTTTTTACCAGTATTGTCAAGCTCAATAGTATCTTTCGCATCAATAAATTACATAACTATCTATATAAGTTTTATTGAGCTGGTCTAAACATATAGTAATTTCAAAATAAACACATTTCTACTGTGTCCAAAACAAAATTTGTTTATGTCAAGTTTACTGAAATTTATAAAATTAACTCCATTTAATTATTTATCTTGTGAAATATTTTATCAGACCTGAATTACTCTACGTACACATACTTTGTTGGCTGCCACTATGATACTCAAGTCTATTGAATTTTAGTAACAGTAGTCAGGATAGAAACTTATAGTTGTTGAGGGTGATTTAATCGTTAATTGTTATATTATACAACTTTGTTTTGCATATAAGCAGTATGAATAGTAATTATGTTTACTTTTATAGGAATTTGTGTGTAACACTATACAATATCATCGATCTAAAATTGATTATAAAATGAAATTTTATAAAGCTTTTAAGACACAAAAAAGAATCACGTACATGATAACCCTTTCTATATTTATTATTAGTATGTATATTTAATTCTTTATTGTTCAAATTTATGTGTGATCTATACATCTAGAAAGAACTTTTCTATGGCATTATTACTGCACAAGTTTGTTATATAAAAGACAGTGTTACAAATGAAATTATTTCTGTTAATCATCATTTGATATAATTCGTGCATTTATGTTAAGACTAGCAAAATATGTTAGCTTCTACACAATGTAATTAACGTACAAGTTTAATTTTAGTGTCAGGTCTTATTAATCAAGCGCTAATTCAACATAGTTAAATAGCAGTATTGGTGAAAACAGTACTCTCAAAAGCATATTTGCAAGCTATGAAAGTGTAGCCAAATCTTAGACAGCGCAATTTTTAAATGTTATACATTGAATAATAAGTACATTTGGAGCAACTCTTTTGTGTAGTTTCTTATGTATTTAAATATATCAAGGTTAATTATCAAAACCCGATTCTCTTTAGTGTATATGTATATACGTACATACGTCGCATCAAAATCGTACCAGATTTTACTCTCATTCGATGTTTTTATATTAAGTAGCTTTTACATTAGAACATCTCCTAGAAAAAAAAATATAGAAATTACCAGGTTTAAATACGTATTCCTCATTTTAAATAATGTGCACATATTCCGATTAATTCTGTAATCGATCATTATGTAGCAGTAATTATCATGTTATTTTTACATATGTATCAAATGTTTAATTAAAGTTTTATGATTTTTTCCCATTAATGTGATAATCAATGAATTTCAAATAAATTACTTCAATTCCAAGACAAAATTGTTTTATTTTAATACTTAAACATGAATATTTTTTATCCAAACGACAAATATCAGTCATAATGTACATTCATGTGTTCACAATAACTTTAAATTTGATGTAAGGCGATCAACTACTAATTTAGGAGCAGGTCCAATTCCTAATGCTGATATCGTTCCAGGTTCTAATTGCGTTCTACCCGCATCTCTTATAATGGCTGTTATAAGGCCATTTTGTCGAGCATCATATGCTAATGTTAATAGTTCCTTTTCATTTGGGATTCTAAGAACTATCTTTGGTTGACCAACTTGTAGCCATCTACTAAATGCGTCTTGGTCCTTTCCACTTGCTAATGCTTGTCGATAGCACTCCAGGGCTGCGTGTGCACACTGTGCTGCTGCTTTGCCCTTCGTCATGGGTATATCCGTTCTTACAACGATTACCATTTTGTAGCTATCTTCTTTCAAAGCATTAGTGAACAAGGATCTTATGCGTTTTAAAATGGATCTCATTTCTATAATGTATATTATGAATATCTTTCCTGTTGTTGTTTCTGGTATTCTGCCATGCACAATTTAAATTGTTGCACTTGTTTTTGGCATTTTCTCCAATCTTGGGTTTCTGCGATACACTCCTGAAAAGAGTATTTAAACCAGTCTCAATTTGATTACTGGTAGGCCTTTTATTATTATTCGAATCCGTACCTGAACCTGATAATGTAAATCTGCACAGCCAGTTTTCTTCAACATGCGTTCAACCGGATCTTCGATATCATCTTGCTTTGATTGAATTACAGTGACAGTCATACTAATTGGTATTACTTAAAGCCGCTACTGATATACGAAGTTCAATTCTATAGCACTTTATTTGCCAATAATTTGTAACGAACTCACTAATTTTGACTATTCACATTTTAACACATTCGGTACTCCGATATATTTTACTCTTATAACTTCAAGCCGCAAACATTTCATTCATAAAGTGTCTCTATTCAATAGATATCCACACTCATCGGTAATTTAATGCTTTAGCCGATTTCCTAATTGATCATTCTCCTTGATTCACTTTTTCATTGTTGATCATGTAACAAAAATTTGGCTATGCCATAGTCGCTATGGTGATGGTGGCTCCATCACGTGGAACTATTCCCACGTCTTCCTATTCTCAATCAATTTTGGTATGTCCGTCTGAATTCATCAATAAAATATATTACTCACGGCCGTGGGCTAGCAGAATCAAAATAGGTTTGTCGCGTTGTTTGCACTTTCTACACTCGAGCGTTGCTCCGTAATTTTGCAGTAAAAAATTGGCTTCAATAGAGTACACCTCTGGATACTCTGGGGCCAAAGAACAGCAACAATAACAACACATACACTCGAGTGTAACGAATCGGGCCGAAATCCAACTCACGAAGAAGAAGAATAGTATAACGAGGGCGTTACACTTTCGTCGACGTCTCGAACGCCAGAAAGCTCAAGAAAGTACATACATACACCAGGTATAATCAGATATGTAGTGCCTGAAGAATTTACAATCTGTTTGTTTTGTGGTTTAAAAATCTTTGTGTACAGTGCGTTATCTGAGTTTTACACTTTGACATTATGTGGTATCTCTTTTATCCAACAAGTCTTGTTCTTGCATGAAAATGGAGAGTGAGAATGAAATTCGCAAGAGACGAAGTGTCATAGTAACGGGATTTGGACCGTTTGGTGAAATATCTGTAAACGCTAGTTGGGAGGCGGTTAAGGAACTTTTAAAGTTTTCCGATGATTTGAAAAAGGATCATGATGTTGACTTAATTGCAGAACTGATTCCAGTTTCATATAATTATGTATCTAATCGGGTGCCAGAATTATGGAAAAAGTATAATCCAATAGTAAGTAATAAAACATTGATTAGCGACCAAAGTACATATGACCTTAGTGTTAAATACACGTTATTTTAGGTTGTAATACATGTTGGTGTATCACAGAGCAGTAAGTGCATTGAAATAGAACAAAAAGCACACAGTACAGGTTATGACAAACATGACACTTATAAAGAATTACCAAATGAATCTGATATATTGGAACGTGCATTTCAAACCGATATTGATGTTAAGACTATTTGTTCTAATATAAAAAAATGTATTAATAATATTGGATGCCAAATTTCTATGTCAGACAATGCTGGCAGATATCTTTGTGAATACATTTACTATCAGTCACTTAATATCGACAAATCTCGAGTCATTTTTATTCATGTACCTGACATTAGCCACTATCCCAGTGCTCAAACTGCAAAAGCATTATATATTATATTATGTACTCTACTCAAGCATTTAAATGATTGAAGTATATATGTATATGTATATGTACGTACCAACAGGGTAAAAGGGATGATAATAAAATATCTACTTGAATAAAAAATATGATTACTATATTCTGTGCAAATTCTTCATAAGTTTTATATTATATTGAAAATTACCCTTATTATTATGTTTTGCAGTAACTATTCTGTATGATGAAATTTTGTCCTGACCGGAGTGATATTATTTTTCAATTCTCGTGAAAATGGCTTTCTCAACATTTCTGCCACATGTCCCATTTGGATGGTACAATCAGGATTTAAATTTGGTGGCAATAATGTACATTCCCTTTCAAATATAGAAGCTAATCCTTCCAATAGTTCCACAAAGCCCATTGACAGTGCTGCACGGCGCAGTCTATTTAACTCCTGAAAGTTCAAAGCAATAAATGGTAATGTGTTTTAAAAATTGTATGAGAGCATATGCTAACCTTATAAAAATTTTGTGTTTTCTCTGGCAATTTTCGAGCATGTCTTAGTATCTTCTGAATGTCAGATTGCAAACCAACTTGGCGAATCCAAGATGGAGCATTCTGAGAATAACTCCTTTTTTCCGCTGGTCGGACTGGAAAGGCAGCTTCAGAGGTCTTATTTGATGACTCGATTGGGCCTAAATTACTGAAGTTTCCTAGCCAAGGTACAACGTCAGATCCAGGCTCCAATACTGTTAACATTAAATTAGACTTTTTCTTGGTATCAGCCCACGAATAAATAAATCCGTACCAATCAGAATTCAAGAGACACAGAGCAGCCATATTTTCCACCTATATGTAAATGCATAATTTTTAAAAATGATATCGCAACACAAATTTGTTATATTAAAATTAAACCTAACCTTTAATGCTCCATGCAGTAAGACACAGAAGGAAGGTACTTTTCCTTCATCTCCATTGTCATCTGTATCAGAGTCTTCCTCTAAGGATATACCTTGCATACTGGGTGTTTTCTCGGTTGATACTGGTAACACTAAATGCCTTGATATAGCACTAGGACTGCCTACATCTGCGACTGATATAAAACCGCAAATTTCAATAGTTTTAGATATAATTAATCCTGTGACCAATTCAAAATCTGTCTTTTTTACATACGGCTGAAACATATATTTAATATGAAGAAATATACATTACAGGATAGATTACAATGATATTTATCTATAGTATCTTTTATAATTACCAATGGTGCAGGAGATAAAAGTATTCGAGATCCCAAGTGACCACATTTTAAATAACCTTGGAATGACACATAATTGGACTCTGCTAATTTTTGAAAGCAATTTACCACCGAATTTTTAGTAAGCGGGCCTTCAGGAATCATAACAGTACTGTCACCACCTGCTAATTCTACTAAACGTTGATAAAGTGGAAGCCCAACAGATAATCCTCGATCTTTAAAACATAAATGCACATTGAAAGCATTTGTACAGAATAGCACTTATCAGTTTCAATATTGTCATCGTACCTTGTTGGGATGCAATGCATACGATGCTTAATTTTCCTGGATATGGAAACGGTAACGGAAATGGATTCATTTCCCTGGTGACATTCAACGAGTTTAATGAATCTCCTAGGGACATTGGGCCAACACCAGGATTCCCATCAGTTACCAAAACTACCTGACATGCAGTGGTATTTCCCCATTCTGCCATTATTACATTATTCACACCATGAAGAGCTGTTTCAATACAGGTCTTGTCGCATTCCTCGATATTTTGTAATTTTGCACGTATGGTATCATAATCCCGAGTAAAGGGACAAACCACTTCATACAAAGATGAGAATACAACCTGTTTAACCAAAATCGGTACGTACATAAGATATAAAAAAAACTATTTTAAACATTGTTTTAGTTGAAGCACCTTACCAAACTTACCAAAGATACGAATTCAAGTTTTGAGTTCACTTGCAAGTAGTACAATAGTGCATTTATTCCTTGCACAGCTAAATGATGTCTTGTTAATTGCTCATTCTGTGAATTGTCAGCCGATATGTTTCCTTGGACAGGACGTCTCATCGACAGAGATACGTCTAATGCAATAACGGTAGGCATCTTGTAACTTGTTTCATAAACATATATAGTGCCACTGTTATCTAAAAATAAAATTAACATTATTTATAGAAAGGAACGCGAGTAAGAAGACGTTTAATTATAACTGACAAAATTATTAGACTGAATTAATCAATTGACATAACCATAAACATAACTGTAATTCCCAAATACATACATTCCTACAATTTCATCCTTTCTTTTCAGTAAAATATTCTCTTTTGAAGTAGAGCACTGAAATAAATATTATTTCCAAAATTAATTACATAGCTGTCAGAAGTAACATACTACCCAAAGCGATGTGGTGTCAATATTTATTGTTTATAAGGGAAGAGCACTCGTGGCGCCCTCTTTGGCTTTACTCTTCACTTACCTTATTTATTTTGTCAGAGATCTGCTACCAACCGTTGAACACTGATACAACGGCAGCAGTGGCGGTAAATATGAATTGCAGTGATCACCAACATTCTCAGTAAACTATATTACCAAATTTTTAAAGAATATTTTAAATTCAATTTTTCACAATTTTAAATTTAGGCATTCAAGCTCAATGCTGCTTATTTATTTTAAAAACATATGGTTAATGAATTCAAACTGCAGAAACACAATTTATATACAGTTCATTCTATATCAACAACTTACTTTACATACATGTAATAACATTATTGAATTAAAATTAATTAAAGCAATTCATTGTCGCCCTGGTTATCATCGAAAGTGATACTTTCTAAACTTGGCATTGCACGTGAAGCCTCTATTAGTCTTTTATAACGCACCACTAAATCGCCAATCGAACGCCTTCTTCCTTTTTCCGGCGTTTCGTCAAGTTTTGGTATCGTCGAAATATCGGTTATCAGTTCTGGTTTTGTAAATTCACATATGTCGGGTTCAAAGTTTCTCTCTGGAATAGCATCAAGTTGAGGGGTGGTATAAACATTTTCATGAAAAAAATCTTTCTGTGGGCGTTTTTCAGTTGAGCAGGATTCTTTACAAAGACTGAATAGGCTGTGTGCAGTCACATTCAAACTATCTTCCAATTCATTGTTAATTTCTCTAGTAGCACTCGTTATAGCTGTTGAGTTCGCTTTCGAAGAACTTGGTATAGACATTATGCTGCTATTTGCTGTACATTATATAAAAATTAATACTTAGGGTAAAATACCTGCATATGAAAATTATATTATAGATTACATTATATGATACCTTTATCGTAGTTTTTCTTTGAATATGAAGAAAACAGTCGAGAATATTTTCCTGCAATTTTTGCTGTAGGCCACATGCTCTTACATGAAACAGTACGCTTAGGAGATCGGATCTCACTAATATTACAAACTGAATCATCAAAATTAATACGTGACACCAACATATTCGTACCCATTTTTATCGAAACTGCATCATCAACGCGCTTATGTCGTGAAAATAATGTCTTATAGTGCCCTGTTGAAAATGTAATTTTTGCTTAAGCAATTTACATAATTGTGAGAAAAATATTAAATTGAACATACCTTCAATAGGAGTTAATCTTAATCGATTATGAATATCACACCTATTCTCATCTTCATTAGTATTAATTCGAATTACTGGTGATGGCATCAGAAGTGTGCTATCAAAATAAAATACATCATCAACAAATGCATGTTTTTGTTTATTATGGCTCCTGTTGTTTTGAATGTCTATAGAAAAGGATTTTATCCTGTCCAATAGTTCATGGAAACGGCTAAGTATTGTCTTTGCATCCTCACAACTGGCTTTAACTTGTAAAACACATCCAGATAAATCTGGTAAAGGATTACTTTTAAGATGTCGAGATAATTGCTGCAGTACCGCACAAAATAATGAAAAAAAAGTTGCGTATACTAATTTGCCATCTGCATATATTTGGTGTGAAAGTACCTACAAAAAAAAAGTTAACATTATTTACTTGTTAAACCACGTATTTAGTTAGTTTAATAACATTTATGTTACTTGGATATCTGGATGGACATTAGATCTTGAAAGAGCACCAATGTCAACTTTTGGAAGGTTGTTCGCGTCCAAAACTTTAGAATCACTGAGAATACCTTGTATGATATCATTTACATCTTCGCTCAGACTTGCAATAGCGTTCAATGATTTTTGCCTTTCTTCAAGGGTTTTTATGTTCTCATTGATACTTTTTTTCCACACTGAAATAAATTACAGTTCTCCAAAAATGAGTTTTGCACTCAAATATACGATTAGTAATTTAAGTTTAATACTAACTATCAATAATCTGTTCGTTATCAATATCTTCCAACCGCTTTTTAACAATGTCATCAACTGGTGCCTGTGATATATTCTCCAATAATGTTTTCTTTCTTTCGAAGAGATCAATCTTCATTCTGCCTAATTCTTCTATTTCATTTCTGAAATAACAATTTTATACTTTAAATATGACTTCAATGTTTTACTTTCAAATGCAAAATCTAAAATTAATATCTATGGTAATATAGTTGCCAATCAAGACAGACACTTACTGTGCACAATTTTTACATTTTTCAAAAGTTACAGTAAATCCAGAGTCAATTTCAACTATTTTACTGTAAGTCTTTGCAATAATATTATTTAACAGGTTTTTTGTCAATTCCTCTACATCTCCAGGTTTCGGCGCAAACAAAACATTATAATGGCCTAGATTAATCATAAATAAACAAAAAATACTAATTAAATAAAATCATTTTAAACTGAAAAAAAAACTTAATTCAAACATCCATTAATGATTACTAAAAGAACTTTTTACCTTCCTTTTTAAGGTAGGATCTCAAAACGAGCTGAGACAACCTCCACATGATAATTGTAAACTTTGTCCCTCCAGCATGAAGCAAATGGGAAGCAAGAATCGTAGGAAAACCTATATCAGGATTTTCAGTTGATAAACGTCCTAAATATTCTCTCACATCGTTACGGTATTTGGTCTCGGTTCTTTTACAAATTACAGGCCATTCCACAAGCTTTTTAAAACGCTCGGCATCATACACCGATAGTAAATACTGTGTGACATGAACGAATCCTATCGTGTTTGGTTTACTGAACATTCCCTACAAGATATAAATGTATTTTACGTTACAGGATAAGTAGAAACATTAATTAATAAGAGCAGAAAACATTAAGTACCTCTTTGAAATATTTCTTGAAATCCTCACTCGGTTGGACCAGCTGTGTGAGGAGGAAAACATTTTTATGGAATGACGCGCTTAACGACCCCATTATAATCAAGACGATTCGCGGAATATAACAAAATGCTCAGTAGTTTTTACCGGTTTCTCACGTTTCATAGTTTAAAACCATTTTGAACCAAATGGCTTTCCTTTCGGGCAACTACACATGAACATATTAAGCCCCATCCATAATATCCATCATGGCGCTGTGTTCTCGCATTTGATTGGCTATTTCCAATATATCCTACTAAATGATTGAACGATTAATGCACTACGTATGTGAAAAATCTAAACCACTAAAAAGCCCACGAGCAAAATAGAAAAGTCAATGGAGTTGATGAAAAAATATTTTTTCATAAACGTAACAAAAAGAAATGCATAAATGAAAAGGTTAACACATACAGCTGTTAATGAAAGTAAATAAAAATTCCATACATGTCTTACTAATGTCAACGAATAGGATAAAAACCTAATAAAATTCACTTTGTAAAAATTATTCGATTTAATAATTTTAGTGAAAGTTAGAACTCAAGATAGAAATTCAACCGTTCAACATTATTTACATTTTTATAAATGCTCATTGATATACTTATCAAAGAAATTTAAAGTAACTCTCATTTCAGGAAATTTAGCCAATTCACATGCTGGCTCCAGTGTTAACCACTTGAAATCCTGATGCTCGCTGGATAAAGTAACAGGTTTCTTTGTATCAATAAGTTCAGCTAACCAATAGATTACAGTCTTCAGATTTCCTTTAACTTCATACTTTTGTTCCTGCTTTGCATCTTCATAAATTCTAAGATCATTCTTACTGAACCCTGCTTCTTCTTCGGTCTCACGTAGAGCAGTTTCCATATCCGACTCTCCAGGATCAACATGTCCTATAATATACAGATTATATTATATATACCTTCATCATATCACACTAGCGTTCTTATAACCTTTCGGAGGTGTCCAATGGTGATCACTATAGGATGCTTGCATTAACAAATATTCAATGTTTCCCTGAATTCGTCGGAAAATAACGAAACCACAAGCTCGCAATCCCATCACTGATGTAAGATTTTAGGGAAGCCACATATACGTTGTTCTTTTCAATTAAATTTTAAGAAGCTGACCATAGTCCTTGTTAAGGTAAGTTTTCACTTGCCGTGTGCTGAATTGCCCAATGACGAATGCTGCACACTTTATTAAGTGATTCTTTGATTCGCTTCAAACAAGTATTAAGGGGACATTGAAACATGAAAGGAGGTTTATAATATCTTGCCTCTTGCACTAGATTGTAATATTTATTTGTATCTTTCATCACTGCACATCTTATCGATTTTAGCAATGAGAACAGCCACAATATGGAGGCACGTAGTTTAGTTACCCGTGCACCCGTCCAAGTCGCCACGATCCAAGGATGGAAAGATATATGCAACAAACAAATCCAATATACAAACATCAACAAAAATCGAACGACCAGCCGCACAATACAGTGGAACTAAAAATGTTCTGACAAATAAAAATCCGTGGTTGAAAATACGTTTTGTTAACATTATCTTTTCTAAGATATTCTACTCGCAAATATATTCGAAGGAAATTATTTCTTGTCGGTCAATCATTATAGGGTAAACAAACGCTTTGTTCGTATCACTCACAAGGTATCATTATGAAATGAATTTAATTTAAACATTATACAGCCTGTGACAAAAGTGTAATGCCTTTATGCTTACTGCTTGACTGGTTGTAAAGTGTTGCATTCTTTTTATAATTATTACCTTATCATTACAATAATAATAGTATAATATAATTATTATCATACCAGACAGGTTCGCATAACGTCCGCATTATGAAAACGGTTTCTTCATTGTTTTGTGTACTTTTTTTTGTGTTAATGCTTATTTATGCACCCCCCTCCCCTTGACTAATACATGTAGCGCGATATTTAATAAATGATTTGAAAAGTGAAAAATGTGTAAAAAGGTGTACCTCTTACGCGACGGTACGGAGCATTGCTGGGAAGGAAATTTGTGTATTGTTTTTCACTTGATTTCTCTCTTTAATTAATAATTGTTTTGGGATTGCTGGAATACTTTTAATTCCTGTCAGTGGCTCGGAGCTTCTCCTCGACAGCTTCTTCGGAGGCCTCCGAAAGGTCTGTCGCCTGAATATACTTCTGCACACCGACTAAGGACTTCTTCAGAGCATCGAAAGAACTAGAGTACAACATCTTCTTCTTCACTTTGGCTGTGTCGGGGCACCACGACATTAGGAACAGTTTCTGTTTCTTGGAAGCCTGTGGATTAAAAGGAACGTACATTAATTTATACCATACATATATGAGCCTCATAACGTGCATATTATTTTTTACGTCCATTTTCTCGCTCCTCGCTACCCTATTAAATACAACTAACCCCGTTAATAGGACGCCAGAGAGAATTCAATGCCCCACGCAATATAGAGACCTGCGACTTGAAGAATCCCTCATTAATATGTTCACTGAACAGTTACAAACGAGTTGTCCCCTCGTGCGAAAAAGGCACCGGGTACAGCCGGAGACTTCCCGTGGGTTCCCGGTGACTCACATCCCAACGAATCCGTTAACGATGACTGGCTTAACTTGTCGAGTTAACAAACATTACATACAGCCGAATACGCATACGTACATAGGCACCTACAATATTCGGATATACAGGCTCGCGATAAATCCACAAATCCCTGCCTAGCCATCGAAACTCGTGAAAAACAACCGAACACTGTCCACTCCAAGAATCTAATAATAATGCAGATTTTGGCCGGCACTCGGAACCAAGCCCTGAAGCGATCCGCAGAGGTCTTTGCAGATTTCCGAGCTAATACAAAGGCATCTACGATTGTACATAATTCCCATCGTTAGATCTAATCTTCGTTCCACCGGTCTCACCTCCGAGGTACCCTGACATTGATGGGTATACTCGAAGTCGAAGAGGCCGTAGCGACATTCTCCGCTTCCGCCCTTCTGCAGGTCTTCGAGGAAGGCGTCGTAGGCGGCGTCGCGGGGTCCGATCACCTCGACGTCGATCTGCTTCTCGTCCTTAATGTAGAATATTACATATCGGTGTTTCTTATCCTTCTTGATCTCCTCGTACGTTGTCTTGCAGACATCGGCCACGGTTACTCCAGAAGCCTGGCAACAAGCAAAGTCACCTCGTCAGTTCCAATCGCGTCTAAGATAAATCAGATAAATCTACAAGTATGACTTCGATCGGCGACATTTACGCGGAATTTAAGATTACGCGACGGAAGTGTATAAGTGTAACGCCTTAACGGTAGCGGGGACGTAAAAGTACTTGCGGCAACGAGCTTACCACATCTCGGGTTTCAAGTAAGCGCTTTAGAAGCGTCGCTAATGCCCCGTGTAGCAAAACATTATCCGACGCCATTGTAAATTGCATTGTTCGCAATTACCTCTTCTGCTCGATTTACCTCGCTTACCGAATTAGCCTTCCTTTTCCACGGATTAATTCCTACCGGGATCAACGTAACGAGTGGAAAAATTAAGAGCGCAGACCTCGGCACGTCCAACCAAACGACGCCGTCAATCATCTACCCAAACTCGAACTAGTAAAGACACATTCTGACTGCATTCCTAACCCTTGCTTGCAGTGCTCAAGACACGTGTTGCCCATTGCCGTGTGGTTGACACTGAACACGTGGACGTGTCACATCGACACGTGAGACCGGTGTAACCGAATCTCTGACAGACACGGAGAAACAAAAAAAAAAAGATAGAAAATATTTTGGTCCAGTGAACAAACTGGCCCGAACGAGGGCATTCGATTCATCTTGGGAGATGTTTTGATTGGACAAATCGAAATTTCCGTTCCCACGACCAGACTCAATTGCCTCGATCAATTAAAGTATTTCGGTTAAGCTGTTTTATATATATATATTTTTTTTAATCTTGGTTTAACGTTTCAAATTACTTTAATATTCGACTTGATTTGACAATTACGCGGAACGATGCCGCGATTAGATGAAATCCATGATTGTATATCATTCGAGGCATGCTTTTAATTTAATTTCCCGTACTGATCTGCGATCGAATGTTCCCTCGACGTCTCCTCTGTCTTAATCGCGAGTGATCTCCAAGAGACGAGGTACGGGCCGCCTCTTTTGATAAAGTTCGCCGGCAAAGACGGCTGGTCGAAACTTTGAAGAGCTCTCGCCACGTGTCCGAGGGTCGGAGATAACTTTAGAAATGGATCGCCGCTCTTTTAGCATCGGATTCGCGCGTGGGAAGACTTTATTTCGGTCCTCACGTTTGCCCGTCGAATAAGCTTAAACGGATTGGCCGAGTCGGTAGTGAACACCAGGTTTGCGGATCCACCGACGAAAAGGCTGATAAGCGACGGTTCATATATTACCAACACGCGACAAGAACGTTTGCTTTGATATTTCCCAGAAAAAAAAAAGACCCGTCGCGAATTTACAAAAAGTTTAAAAAGGAATTCCTATGGGCGAGGAATTTTATCGTCCTAGGATTCGCATTTAGTGATAACGAAGACGAGGCATCCAGTTCACGGATAGATGCTGCACATACGTTGCATCTCAACGGGAGAAGATTAACGTTGACACGGGGGGGTCTCTCTTTATTTTTCGTTTTCGAAACATCGGAAGAGCCAACGAAGCCGCGCACCCCCCGGCTCGGCTGTGATATTTATAAATTTTGGAACGGCATGCCAGACAGTATTTAGATAATCGCCATCTACGAGGAGAGAGACAACTCGAGAGGATCCCTTTAGGACTTATCCTCGAAATCCACTGCAGAAAAGAAAGAAAAAAAAAAAATATGAAAGAAGAAAAAAAAATCAAATCACTCATCTCGAGTGCATACAACTGCTCCACCCACAAGTCATGGAAGCTCTCGTCACAAAGCGAGTGCATGCAATGCAGTCACCTGACGTTCAATGCGGAACAGCAAAGTGAACAAGTGCCTGATTGTTCGCGGGGCACTGTTGCAAAATCTGGAAAATTACGTGTGCATCTGCAAATGTTCGCCCGGAAGCTTGTTCCCTCTTATCGAGCTCGGTTGTCCAGAAAGTAGTTTTTAAACAAAGCTGTTTTCCCGCCCATCCGCATAATGTACTATTAAGCCACTTCCTGAGTACAGCCAACAAAAGGGGAATTATTATTTTACTCGGACAACAGGAGTGATATTCACGGTCGCAATATTCCTCGGTAGCGGCAATAAACTGTTAAAAATAAACAACCTATCGGTTTTCTGCCAATAATATACATCATGCGCTACCTCGGTAGTCCAGAAAGTAGTTTTCAGGCAAGGCTGTTTTCCTGCCCATCCGCGTAACATACCATTAAGTCATTTCCTGAGTACAGTCAACAAAAGGAGCATTATTATTTTACTCGGACAACAGAAGTGATATTCATGGTCGCAATATTCCTCAGTAGCGGCAGTAAACTGTTAAAAAGTAAATAATTAATGTTATTCGATCGAGTAGTGATATTTGGTTTCCGCCAATGATATGCATCATTTAATGGCGCGACCGTCGTCTTTTGGAGCGGCCCAACGGAAACCGTTAGTGGGAAGGGAAAAGGCCGCAGGAGGCGGGATGACGTGCCTCTTCGTGGCCGGCCTACGAGTAGAGGAACAGGAACACAACCCTTCGATCGATATCCCAACGCCACGGGGGGTGTCTATTCGAGCCAGTCCTGGCAGGCTCCTTTCGTTCCGGCGAGCGACGACGCGCCAATGGGGTCGACTCATCGCCCACTCCAGGGGAAATCGCGCGACCAGCGTGCCGGCCAATCGCGGCGCGCTATCCGTCCGGTCCAACGGAAAAGGGACTCCGCCGCATAGCGAGAGGTAGAATTTCGGACGTCTTGCGAGAATCGATATATCCAGAATTCGCCGGCCGTGCGTCACGCCACGTGGGCCCACGGATTTCAAGGTTAGATCTCGATCCTCGATGGGATTCCGAGAGGCCGGTGACGCGCCTTTCCTTAGCGTCGATCTACGTCATCAGTCAGTGCACATCGCAGGGTACTCTTCCAAGTATCGTTCCTTATGTTCCGACAAACGTGAACGTAAGCGACGAACAGTTCGACCAGGTCGATATCGGTTAAGGTAACGTGAAACCGGACATCTGAGGGGTTAATAGTTCATGAAACATTCCGTTCATTCGTTTCAAACTTTACGACATAAATACAGAGTCTGCAAAGAAGATCCATGGAAATATCACATTTTATGAAATATATTTAAAATTTCTGTGAATAAATTAAAAAAAAAAAAATTGAATTTTCATGCGTATCAAGACCTTCCTTATAGCCTTCGTAGTCACGTCGTAATGTTTGAAACGTTTTTTTCTTCTTTTTTCAAGTAATTGAAGCTTTTCCGTTAAGATCCAACGGTTGGATCTCAAAATTTCGCTCGATCGGCAGGTCCTTTAATTCGTGATATAAGTCATTATAAAAAGCGGGTCTCTTTCGAGGGGACACGTCCCCGGGTTTTGAGAACCACTGGCCTTGGAGAGAATGACCGACCTCCTTAGAGGCTCCTTACATTCGCCCCCTCTCCTTGTTCGTCCATCTCCCTCTCTCCTACGTACCGCGCGACTAATTCACCGCGTGGTCTGGCACCGTGGGAGACGAGTGCAGGGTAAGAAGGGTCAATATCAAGGATGCGCCTTCTAGACAGTAACTACGGTCTACATCCAAGCTAGCGTCTAGGCGTTATCTGAGCGCCTCCAAGGTTGGGCACCACCCACCGCAATCAATTCCGGTCGAACGACAAGCACTCGCTATTGAATCCCGTCGTTTCCGCAAATTACGATTTCCCCGACACGGCGTTGACTCAATTTACGGTGCCGATAATTTTCTCTTCACCGGAACCAACAAAAAAAAATGCCCCAGGTACCAGTACCTTCCTCAGGGCCTCCGCGTAGAAAAAAAAAAAAAATTGAAACTAAAACTAATCACCCAGTTCCAAGAAAATAAACGAGACCCTTCGAATGTTCCCTTCGCGTCCCCCTTAGTGAACGATTTAATTTTCCCTCGGGTTTTACTTACGCCGAGGAAAAGATAGCGACATCAAGGACGGAGCGATGCACCGTCCGCTCTTATCTCCGTCGAACTTCGCGGTAAGGCGCGATAAGCCGTGCAGAGCTCGGCAAAGTGGACGATCTCGTTAATGCGACTCGCCGAATTGAGTCGTTGCCGTTAATACCCCCTATCGATCTAGAATCTGATAAACCACCGAGATGTCCATTTAAGGCCGTCCTTCGCCCGAACGTGGGGAACTCCAATCGCACCGAGTACCTCCGATGGCGATCGATGAAAGAAAAAAAAAGAATCTATCCAGAGGGTGACTCGTCCAGATTCGACGAGGACAACGCTCCTACGATTTAACCCAGCCATTAGCGAGCTAATAATTTCGCGACTACCCAAAAGTTCAAGGCTGGCGTCGAAGGAAAGGCTCCGAGGCGAATGGTAATTTCTTTTCAAAGTATTCACCGGGTCTCTAAATCTGCATGCAAATCACCCGCCGTGGCCATGCATCTCTTATTCCTGGCACGAGTCCCACTGTCCGTAACAGGTACGGAACCAGCGGAAACCAAGTCGGCGCCGTCCGTCCTCGGAAATATCGGAAGAACCGCGGAATCGCGTTAACGGCGCCTGGGGTTCTCTACGGTCGAAATGCGGCATCCAGGAAAGTATAGAGAAAAAAGAAGAAGAAGAAAATAGCCATCACGGGTAATTGACTGCTTGGACAGGTGCGACAATCGGGAAGTCCGCATAGTCCGAGTGTCCGGATAAATTACGGAATATGTCGGCTAGCTCTCGACGAATCGCACATCGATAATCCATCCCGTGAATTTCGACGCCGACCAGCGTGAGACACGTTTGTAAAGTAATTCAAACCGTTATTTTAAAATCTTTAAGAGAGTGAGAAATCTGCACGCAGTCGCCGTGATAAGAGGACCTTCGAGGAAAAGAAATCGCATTCGTCGATCTCGACCCGAAGTCGCGTGAAATCTCGCTCACACCGAGAGAAGCAAAAAGTGTCATTGAACCAAAGGAGTATTTCTTTGAACAGTACTAAAAAAATATATATATATAAATTGTAAATTAGAAGAATTCGACGGGAATAAATTATAATAAATTGGACGCAGCATTTCTTCGGAATTGTGAGAATTCATTTGGATCAAATTATTTCTTCGGTTCGATGGATCTTTTTTTTTTTCACAGTGCACAGGCCAAGTACGCGGATTAATAACCAGGAAATACGAAATACCGTCCCAGACAGTTATGTCAATGAGGTAGGTAAGACCAGTTGGCAATATTCGCGGTGCAGTTTAGCGTATAACTCTTGGACACGGTATCCCGGTATCTGAAAATAGAGGATTCGTTCCTGGACTTCGCGTTAATTATTATAAGCGCCCATAAGGCACATAATCATCGCGGTATCAACACGAGATAATAAATCCGATCTTCATGGATCGACGTAGTATCATTCCATGGAAGGAACTCTCCATAGCGACATGCAAATTACACGCGAAGTCTGAATCATGATCTAACCGACAACCAGGGACGTTCTTTTTCCACCGAGATTTCTATCGCACCCACACGGCGACGAAAAATCGGAAAATCCGATAAATCCACCGGTAACGAGAAAACTCGGGATTTCAGGTCTCGGTAAAATTAACCTCGACATCGGATATCCCGGAAACGACAATTCCCTCCCGATGTTTCCCAAAGGCCGTTGCCAACTCGATTTTCTTTTTCCAAGGGCAATGCGTCGGCAAAAGTGGATTCGGCAATACTTATCGCCTTATCTTGAGCATTGTGTGTGTACAAGGTTTAGCAAAAACTTGTGGACGTGGCTTATACAACGCTATTCTCGTCGAAAATCGAGTAAAAGTGATGTACTATTTTTTTCTTTTCTTTTTCCCTTCAACAATTCACCGTTTACCTGTAATAATTAGCTGAAAAATAAGGCACGTCGATTAGCAAAAAAAAACACGCCTTAAACTTTCCACCTCTTCTGTCGCAGAGTGGTTGAAAAGTCCCGTAGAATTCTTTTTTCTGCAGTACCCAGTCTGCCTACGATAACTAATTAAGAAATACCCAACTGAAGACTGATACGCGTTCGACCTTGCATCTGCTTAACTACTTCTCGCTTATAATTATTAAAAGCAAACTACGTACCACAAAAAAAAAAAAGAAAATTCTAGACCTTTCCCAACGCGCAAGTAGTCAAGAATTCCTAGTAATTAACCCTCTTCTCTATCATTAATTCCCTGCCTTGTGCGTATTTTTTTTTTTCTTTCCAGACCCTCCCATACCAGCTCGCACCTAAAGCACGTCTTACCAACCACTCCCCCGGAACGGCGCAGGAAAGCCTTTTTCCGACTGCACATTCGGGTAGGAACCGAGCCAGAGAGAGGAAATCCGGCGTCGTCTCGAGAGGTCTGCGTAGTCCCATAGAGCCGACCCGTAATCTCGATTAAAGGCCGATTCAAACATGCCGTGGCGTGTCGTGTCCGTGCCCCGATGGAAATAACGGCTTAGATTGATATCAGAGTACCCGTGCACATTTCGTGTCCACGAATACCCAATATAGATCTAAGTTATTTCCACGGACGTGTCCGAATCGGCCTTAACTCGTGGCATGACGCGGTCGAGTGGATTTTCGGCGTCCCGGAGTAAGCGAGACTCCGGTATTCCAAGAGTCCGTCCGGGAAGCGCGGTTCTCTCCCGCATGCCTCGTGGCGTGCGTACTCGCGAGTTGCACCTGCCGGTCCGAGCGGGCGTTCGGCAACCGGGAATGATTCATCGTAGACGGCCGACAAAAAGCGCGTACCTTCTCGCCGGGTCGGTGTTCCCGGCAGCGCGCGGTATCGCTCGGTATCGCCCGAAGAGGAGAGGTCGCATGCCCAGCCGCTCGCCTACCGGCGCTGCGAGCGTACCCGGCTCGACCGCATATGCCGAGGTATGTCGATACACAGAGTTATATACGGGGCCCAATAATCGCGACGCCGCGAATAATGGGACGTGGAAACGACCGGCGAGGGCCCCGAGTCGCGTAACCTCGGCGGCAAAAAAAGAATCGCGGCTCACTTGGCTCCGCTGGGACAGAAATGGCGACCGGCGCGTCTGCTCCGGCCTAACCACAAAGTGCACCGCTCACCGGGCCGCGTTCTCTCCCCTGCGCGACACCCTCGCTCGTTAGCCTGTGTGATATTTACCATTTCGGGAAATCGTCGACAGTACCAGGAGTCGGGTAAACAAGCACTATCGACACTTTCGCGGGACCTCGGCTCTAGTAGAACTGGATCGCGGTGTCCAGTCGGGGGGCGCGCGTGAACAACGGAAAGGGAGGCTCCTCAGGCCCGCAGTTGTGTATCCCTCCGCGTGCGCGCGCAACCGCGGCGGCTGGACCGATTGGCTCGCGACGTCGGTGCGCCCCCCGGCCTCCGCTGGTGTCGGCCGCCTTTCCGCTCGACTTTTTCTCGGATATTCCGGTAAGTGCGCAGCGCTCGTCGTTATCGCGTCCCTCCGGAGATCCTTGCCGCGCTTGCGATATCGGGTCCACGCGAATTCGGCGGCTCCTCTTGGCTAAAACGGTTTACTCGGCGGTTTCGATCGCGAGGAGGCGGCACTACTTGCCACCGGGCGACCAATGACGTCGCGCGGTCGCGCCGGTGACTCGCGCGTACGCTATTTTTGAATGGAGATAACTGCTCTGACAGACTTTGCGGCGATTTACCACACCTCGCCGATTGCACGCGTCCCGTCTGCTGGTATCTCTCAACGTCCTCGCTGTCAAGTCGAATAATCTGCACTGGTCGTCGCCATGACGTGTCGGGGTCACGGACCAATCGCGGGGCGGCCTATGGGGAAATTGCCTTATATGGGCCGCGACACACAGCCGCCCATCACTCGCCTCGTGTGCATGCGCGTCGCAGAGTAATCCGGCGTTAACATGGCCCGTCATCCCCGGTGACTGAACCTACGGACCCTCGACGACCTTATGGAGGCATTAGGTGCCGACCGGGGGCAATGCATATCGCGAATGTCATTTCACAGAAATGGAGATTCAATGTTTATGGTGATTCAGAATTTAACATCGATCGTGTCTTTGTCCGTTACGCGACTCGATATTCCTAGGATTAGATAAATCAAATTGGAGGTGACATTGTACTGCCTATATTTTTTTTTTTTTATGAAAATGTTTTTATAAAGTGAAATAATCCTAGGTATACGTTACGCTGCAGTGGTGTTACACTTGTACAAATTGTTATACATGGTATGAGGCATCGAATCATGATAGGATACGTGAGATCGTTACATTTTTATTATTTAATTACTACTACTGGGGGTTCAAATGTATACTGTTTTCGATGTCAATTATTGGCTTAATTCTGCTAGATCGTACATCCATCGTAATACAATCAGATATAATTACAAAGCTGAGAATAATAATTGAAATATTAATGGAATATGGTTAAAAGTAATAATAAAAGTATTTATACAAATAAATTAATATGTATTGGCGTAAAGGTTTGAGAACGGCGTTATCAAACAAAGTTAAATTATGTTCTATATCTTGTACAAGTATTGATTTCTTCATTTGCTAAAGGTGGGTCCAGAAAGCTAAGTTATAGAATAAATTACAAAGGTCACTGGAGAAAGAAGCCTATAATTTTCTATCGTGGCAGTATATTTTTTTACACATCGCTATAAGAATAACAGTGAAACTAGTACTGAAAGTAGTCGGAATTGTAAATAAATAATTGTTATTCAAATAATATTATTAAGACATACGCTATAATACAGATTTCCTGTATACAATCACTTTGTATGCGTTATTTTTGGATTTGCATCTACAGTGTATTCAAGATGTATCAACGTTCAATTGGTCATTCTTATTTAGTAAGTTGACATGTTCTTTCTTTCTAACTAAAAATCATTTAATGTACTAAAACAATCTATAAGGTGATTAAAATGTACCTTCTAATTATCAGGAATGACCTTGTTTAATTTATTTCATGCGTTTATTGAATGCACTGTAGATGCGCGCTACAAATGTATATGTACATATTTATTTGTAAGTACAGTCTATGCATACTATATATATGCATTTGCACAGACGAATCTATATAGTATTCCGCATAAAACAAATATCAAGTCTCTACTGTTTCCGCGATATGCCTAATGCTATAAGAAATCAAATCATGTACATTCTGTTCATTGAATTGCTATCGTAATGTGTTTGCTTATGTCATGAATATCATGTAATTGCGCTAAAATATTGAATAGACTAAAAAAATAGTCAATCATTAATGTGTACACGTGTACATAAATTACCTAATTTCTTCATGTTATATGTACTAATTCAGTTTAATTAAATTAATGACGTTGTAAAATTCGACATTTAGTAATGTCACGTTTATCACTTAACCACCTTAATATGATTATTCTCTCAAATCCAAAGTAAGAGTTTAGATATTATCAATTGCCTATAATAGGCGAGATATATTATAGGTGAATAAAATAGTGATAATACTGTCATCGTTCACATAAACCAATTGCCAAAAAGGAACAACCTGCAACATGAATTACTGTAGGCTACAATACTTTTGCAACACACGTGGATAAAACGCGTACAAAAATTCCGAGTTTCCAACATTGACAATTATATTACTGTTATAAATAAAGACAATCATGAATACTTTGAGTTATATCCACGTGAAGCATGTCCTGTTACCATGTACTATTTTTCCATAAAAAGTCACTTCGTGCAATAGAGGTAACGATTAAAAATATTTCAATGATCACATTAAGTAATATTCAGATTAGAATGTTGTTATACTTGATACTTGGGCCAAGTCATCTTTGAAAATGAGGAATACGGATTGAACATTGTTTCCGTCAATATAATCGGATCTATTCTCGTTTATCGTTAGTGCATTCAATAAAATAAATATGCACCGGTTTATTGCGTAAGGCAATAAAACCTAAATCTACATTATTTTAAAAGTTCATCTACCAAGTCTGAGCTGCACGTTCAGATTTACTTCAACTAATAACTTTGAAAAATGATCTAGTAAAAACTAAAATCATATCTTCTCTTCTATTTCTTTTTTTCATTTTCTTCTTAAATGGGTATAACAAAACCAGTTGGAAGAAAACGATTCATGAATATTTTGAGTTCTTGCAATGAAAGGTTTTTCTTGAGTTCTGTAAAATCTCATAAAGAATAAAAATGTACTCCTCCGCGAAAAAATTATTACTGGCTACGTCTTTACAATTTTAGAGCCAACACATCGATGCACGCTTAATGGATGAAAATTACTTGAATATACTATGAATGCTATTACGTGGGAATAAAGGAAACGATACATACAGCAGTTGATTTATCACTTAAAATAGGTTAAACCTATAGATTTTGAGACATTAAATATTAGTACTAATTTACCAGGTAAAACTATGTATGTACAGACGTCAATACCCATTATCAGAATCACTCATTTTCTTCACCATCACACAGGTTGTATACAATGATTTTCTAAATACGGAAATGTATCAATCTATCATCAAATGATCAAACTAATAACGCGTTTATTATCTAAGGTTTATGAAAGAAAGCTACGAAGACTCGCCCAAGTAACCAACATATTATTTTATGTTATCGATATGAAATATCGGTCTTGAGAGTCATTTAATAGCAGATTTTGCTGAAATATATACTAATAATTGAAAAAAAAAGTCAATTGCTAACTAGTTTTAAGATTAATTGTTGAAATTCTATTGAAGTTAATCTGTACGACAAAGATAATCGTTGCCATAATATCATGGCTCATTTGAAAACATTAAAAAGCCAAAAAAAATACATTATTAAAAATTAAATAAATGACAATTTCAATATAATTAATGTCCTACTGCAAAGAAATGTATTCTTACAAACAGCACCTGTAGTCTTTCTTATGTTCTCAACCAGTTAGACATCTCAACAATAATCACTATTTGTAATTACCGAACGGTAACCTTAATGCAACTAACAAATTCCACATTTTCCTTTCCAAGGTTACGATGCAAATAATGTTAGATGAGTCCACGCTTTTTCTTGTAATCCTCTAAATTCAAAGATCGTCTAGGTCCAGTGTCCTTTACGTTACTAATGGGTTTAGGTAAGACACTGACAGGATTATCTGCAAAGAATGAATATTTTTTATAGGGTAAAGCTTTGTATTATGGCACGCATTAAATCAACATTATAACTTAATAAGAAATGTAATATAAATTATTTACTTACTTGGAATGGGTACCTCTAAATCTATCGTGATGTCAAAGTCATGGGCATTAAAGAGATCTTCGGTGCTTTGTTTCTTTTTAACTTCTTGCCCATTCTCCTTCTCATTAGTCGAAGCAACGGTATCAGCAGCTGGTTGAGGGCTTGCCTTTGCCTCTGTGGTTGCTAAAGAAGGAACTTCTTCGTCTTTGGGCTTATATACCATTCGTGGCTTTGTACTTCGCCTGGTAAACGGATCATCTATCTGCTTCCCCTTGTTTGCCTTAATCTCCTCCTAATTATTTGAGTTAAAGACAGATGACAATCAGTAAAGCTAATTATAGCTAATGTAACTAGTCTACTTGTCTGTGACGCATCAAAGAGGCGTCATGTACATCTCTGTATTATGTAAATGAAAGTTTGTTTACAAGTGACTTACCATTATTGCTTTTTCAGCTTCTTCAACATTTTTCTTTCTATTTCGATCATTAATGTACGAAATACTAGAAATTGTTGCTGTGCGCATTTTATCTAGCTCTGATGCACGCTCTTCCAATTCGCTCAATTCTTGATTTAGCTGACTAGCTAACTCGTCGTCACCTCTGCAGTTGGCTGCGTCTCTGTCTCGCATTAGCTGTGCTTTCTTCATGGCATAATTATAAGGATTTTGCTTGAACCTTTCCTTTTCCCTTACAATTTTCTCAATGTCTTCTTCCTTGAATTCGTATACCACTGCTTCTCTGATATCTTTCAATTTTTGTTCAAGTTCCTCAAACGTTGGCATTGAGATACCTTGCAAGGCACAGGTTTCTTTCCACTTAAAGAATTCGGATTCCGTAAATTCTTGATTTGACACAAACTCTAATCTGAAGACACGCTCCTGAGCGCCGTGTCTTAATTTTAATCCTTTGTTTGTTCTAGTACCACCCAACTGATAAATTTTTCCTGTTTCACATACACCACTTACTTCGGCTACTCTGTAAACTGGTTTTCCATTATTGTTGCCAATGCCAATCCTTACAAAACAGCCTTGAACTATTCGTTCGAAGAATGGAAGATGCACAAATCTCTCCATCTTGTGTCGTGATAATCTAATTTTGTTCAAGTCTTCTTTAGTGCTTACATACACAGGTTTTTTTGGCTTACTCTTGTGACTTGATACCGACCTATATTAACAAAATAATAGAACCATATTTAGTATTACTTTCAACAGAATGTTACCCTTCGCATAAATAGATTATTTACTTTTTGTCATTGTCCCAGTCTGATTCTCTACTCTCACTTGACGAGGACCTATGGTGTGATGCAGGCTTTGATGGCTCTTCTTCTTCGGCACTGTCGGATGATCCACTATCATCAGAGTATATATCGGAAGCTTTAAGTTTTGTTTTATTCGCTCCACCTTTATGATCATCTTCTAGCTCTTCTTCTTCAATGTCTTTTGTTTGTTGTTGTTGCTGTTCCATCCGTTGTTTTTCTTTTTCCTCTGTTAATGCAATAATCAAGCAAATTCTATGACTTCTATAAACAATTGTGTAGTAAGTACTGTATAGATGCTAATAAAACTTTACCTCTTTCTTTTTTCTCCTCTCGCCTTGCCTTCAATAGGGACATGGCATGGAATTTTTTGTCTTGTTTCTCTTCTATCGTTTTCTTACGATCTTTACTTCTCTCTTTCGGATCCGGAGCTCTATCAAACTTTTTCTCTTCTACTCCCCTCTCCTTCTTTTTGAACTCTTTCTGTTTCTTCAATTCCTGCTTTTTAGCCATTCGAAGTTTCTTTTCAATTTCAAATCTCGTCTTCATGATTTCTCTTTGTTCAATGCGTTTGAAGATTTCTTGTTCTCTTTCTTTTTCCGTCATCTGGGCAAGTCGCGCTTGGTCCTCGGCATCCCCCATTAGCTTATCATCATATCCATCGTTGAACTCTTCCTGACTGGAATCTGAGACACTCGCATCAGAATCCGATACCTCTCCTACAACAATAACATTACACCTTTCATTTCATACCATATTATGATATATTGCTTTACAATATTAAACCATATTACTTTTAACAAAATAATTCTTTATGACTTAACATAAAATGTAATGAAATGCTTGTTATATTATTCCATTATTATTGAAAATACCTTCTTCCGGTTCAGAATACTTTTCTGGTTCCTTTTCACTTCCACTATCTTCTGAACTAGATTTTGTAACTTTTCGTTTATTTCTCTTTGTCGGTGATTTTTTCTTCTTTGTCTTACCACCTTTCGAACCCCAGTCCTCGTCAGAATCTGAAGTGTCATACCCAGCCTGTTTCTCATCTTTTTGAGTAGAATCGTTATCTTCATTGGATTGGGAATCATCTTGAGTCTTACTCTTTTTTTTCTTTGCCAATGACAGTAATTCCTATAACAGAATAGTTATTATCTGTTAGTAAAATAATTGAAGTTCCTCAGGTATCAAATAAAAATGTATAGCTTCTGCAAGATTAAGTTAGTAGATTTATTATATTTTCAGTTATACTAGCATAATTGATAAGACAGAAACAGTTCAGCAAAAGAACTGTCAATTATGAAATTATAATGTAATCCGAAATCTCCAAAAATGTAATCTGCCAAGGTGCATAGGTTATGTATAAACGCGATACTAAATGGTATATACAATTTGAAAAATATTGAAAAGGATTGTCGCAACAGAAACGTAAACTGTGGTGTGTGCCACAATTCCGCAAAACTAATAAATGCATGGTAACATTAAAAAAAAAAGTTTGAATACTTAGATATGTTTAGTTATAAAAGGTTATGTATTTACGCTGTCTAAATCTGAACCGGATTCCGACGCATTTCCACTGCTCTCAGTATCGATAAGAGCTTGATTTTTCCTTTTTGGCATTTTGGAGTTAATTTTCAACTGAGGATCATGCAAAATGCGCGATCTTTCAATACACAGTAAATTAACGTCATGCAAAACGGAACCACGAACGCCCGCGCACAACAATGCTCGACACTCCTCAACGCTTTCCAGTGCCTCTCTGAACGTGACTGAAGTCACGGCGAGTCGTTCGCGGAAGGAAGGGGCAGAGGGCAGGTATAGGGATTATCCCCAGACTGACTACACCGATGAATCTAGGCGAATTAAGAAATAGGTAGCAAGAATACTATTGAAATAGATATAACGGTAGCACAGTGACATATTAACAAGCTATTCAACAATTTATACCATAATCCCCGGTTATTCCCATTTTAACTGCATATTGAGAATCCGTCGCATTCATAGAAATTCGTATTTACCATACCTGGATTAACGCAAAAGTGCTTACCTGCAAAGATCGATCTACCATTAATATTCTTAACTTTTAGCTGACAATATCGAGGATTAAAAATTACTCAGAACTGTGACGAAAGTGACACAGGATTGAAAACAGTTCTGATTGGTTTTTTACATTTACCGCATTGACACACTAAGGCCCAGTTACACGATTCGAGTTAACCGTAAGTTAATTAGTTTACAGCAGGTTTAAACTTCGGTTAACTAGAATTGTAGAAACGGGCCGAAACGCGTCAAATTGGTAACACTGTATTGTTATGCTCATGTGACATTTTTATGCCTTGTATGCGTCAATGTGTTACTAATTTATTATGTTACAAATTAATGTGTATTAATATAAGTCGGCAGGTACTTTTCTGACAACGTGGCTAACGTTTTAGTGGAGCAGTAAATATTAAATATTGGTGTTTTGTAACCGTGTTTGATTCTTAACGTCGTGCATACAAATTATTTTTTTACAGATATGGATAATGTACTGCATAAGGTATCTTCTTTCTTGAATTATTGGTATTTTCGATACACACTGGTTACTGAGCTGTATATGGTTGAAAAGTGGGAAAGAAACTTTATGAGTATCCTTTTTGAGATAAAATACTTTTTAGCAAATAGGATTCAAAATTTACATTGCGATGTTTTCGAACATTTGTACCAAGATATCTGTAAGATTAGTTAGCCTATAATGAAATGCGTTCGTTGTACTATTAATTTTCCTAAATCGTTTTCAGATATCTTCTTGGTAATTCTCTTCTTGTTATTCTTTTGGTTTAATTATACAGTTGTAGTTCCTACGTCTACATACTTGTTTGTAAAAGAGTAACAGTGGTAAAATGACGTCGATGCTACTGACATGTGAATATTTGGAAAGTTCTAACCAATTGTATAATAAAAATATATAAGAATGGAATATTGTCATCGTAATGAAGTGTATATCATTCTATTGCCAAATATTTTGTTAATAACCACAAGAGAATGAAGCGGTTGTTATAATTATGGGTAGTTTCATATAAGCGTGATGTAAGATACATTAACAAGACTATTAAATAAGTTAACTGTTCAAGAATATCAGAAACAAAGATGTTTATACCCTTATTATCCTCTATCTGTTAATTGAAGTAGGAAAAGTTACTGGTGATCTTTTGTATAATTCATAAATATTGATTAAAGTGTTAAACATCAAACTATTTTAATTTTTTCTACTTTCTTACTCAAATTATACCTACGTTATATGAAAAACACACGTATAATAAATATTCATATTTTATTCATATTTTCCAATTCTTAAAATAATTAACAACTAAACAGTGATTCTATCCATTTCAGTTTCAATACACATTTTCAACTTGTCTTCACTTAGCTGCCAATCTTACACACAGTTTTTATAATGAAATTAAATGTTGCTTCGATTTAGTCCCTTTTACATATTTTTTTTTTAATTACTCATTAGGTTTTCTGCAACTTTCATTCTGAACAACAATAAACACATGCGAACACTTTATTCATTGGTTATTCGCAACGGAAATAGGCACAATGGGATTAATAACACGAACTTCAATGTTTAACAAGAGCAAGTCTTTAAATTGACTTTCTAAAATCAAATTTCATTGTTGTGAGAAATCCAGTTTTTTTTGACATCATTGTTTCCTATATGACATAATACTGAATAATACTCACTGCATTCCAATTCGTGAAGGTATTTTGTTGCACACCCTTGCGATCAATTTATGCTTGGTCTGCATAGATTGAAGTGACTCAAGAAGAGCAACAGTCTTTATGATTTGTTCGTAAATAGAAAATTGATGTATGATATTATGTTCCTTCCTTACGTTAAAGTTATTTGAAAAATGAGTATAATGCAGGTAACACCTAGATATAAGTTTCGTATTGATATATATGATAACAGTGTGCATGAGAATACGATAATCATGATTAACCAATAGCGAATGCCCATCGCGTTTTACTTCCCCCAAACTGGAACACAACGAACATGAAAAAAGTAATTGCTGAGTATGTTTAATATAAATCTGAAGAGGGTCAAATCCTTCTGAATCAACATTAAAGCAATCGAGGACTATTGTATGCCGTTTGTGGAATAGATAGAATACATTAAAATACTTGCTAGCTGTATACACGTTATTCGCTTATACTGTTACGAGTTAGAAGAATTGAGACATGGATGTATTGTTATTCTAATATTGTGCGTACACCTCGTAAGACTGTTCACAGAACTTATCACTACATTACCCCATTCGCGTAAATACAAATCTTGAACCCAAAACAATAAATAAAACTGTTAACCACCCGAATGTGGCTCGCCAGAGTTCATTAAAGGTAAATATGATATGGGTCTGCCATCTGATTGCAAATCATTTTCAGTGTCTAATCTTCTGACTCGTACTCTTTGCTTGTAGTGGTATTCTTTAAGATAACTTTTAAGGGTCTTTGGCAACTGCAACTTGTTTATACCATCATATGTTGTTCTGGTAGTTATAACTGCCCGACATAAATGTTGCAATGGGAAAGGGAAACTACGATGTAGTGGGATTGTTAGCATTGGCTCAAAGAACATACAACAAGCCGGGTCCTTGTAATGTTCTATCAGTCCACACACCTGTCAAAAAATACATCGATATGGCTTTAAATTACTGAAAAATTCAACACCGACTTTTACTAGTAAACCAATGAAACATACCGTTTCAGACGCATAAACGCCTGGATCATGAGCATCAAAACTGAATTTGTGATTCCATTGTTCAATTCGAGCATGAAGTGATCGTCCATACCTTCGGAAACTCACGGAGAAAAGAAACTCCTCCTGAGCTGAATCCCGTAACAGGAAAGTACCTTCTTGTTTGCCTTCTAATAAGCGCTCTGCCTCATAGCGATCCATTTTACCCCAATAAAAAGAGCAGGCTGTTATGGATCGGAGGTCTGGCACAAGACAATGTACATAATCAACCTAAAGGAAGAAATCCCTTTTTATAGAAACAAATACATATTTACCATTTTACATCTATCTTTAATTCTTCAATATTTTCTTGTGAATTCTTAATACTGTATATACCTGGGTATGTGCTGGTCTTTCAATGTTCGAAATCAATGTAAAGTCAATTTGAGACAGTGCCGTGAGAGCAGCAGCTTGAATACCTGCATGTGTTTGAAACAATACTGCTAAACTGTCAACTGTTATTCCATTTGGATGTACTTGAATTCCTGCTGAGTACTTAGGTCTGTAACCTGGAGGTGGCTCAATGCCTTCTTCCATTTCACGAGCTCTTTGCAATCTTGCTCTTTCATCACAATCCTGGAATTTTAATTTAAAGACCATGAATTACACCCATCACAAAAAATTACGAAATTAATCATCTTTCTATATCCTAAAACTTACTTCCATTGGAAACTCTTCGGGATTGAATCTGGATAAGTCAATTACAGGACTTGCCCGAATTGGACCCAGAACTGGACTCTGTGGTGCTGACCTACTGTTAAATACAATGCCTGCACCCATGGGATGCTCTTCGGTACGTCTGTAACCTGTACACACACACTCAGAGTTGCTGTTTCCCTGACCAGGAATATCGGTATTTTTTGAACTTTTGCTTTTAGCACAATTAAATTTCAAAACCCAATTACTACGCTTCTTCTTTGATGATAAAATATGACTACATATTGGACCTTGGTCTTTATTACGTTGTTTATCTGCAGAGAAATCAAATAATGAAAAAATTTACTTTGGTAACCTGCTATATTATATCTTCATTTTTAAATGTGCAGGAATAATTGTAAAAGCTTACTTTTTCGTTTTCCAAACGAAAGTGTTTTGGAGGATCGTTTTAATGCAGGATTTATGGGACTATCATCGGAACAACTACTGCTATTACCACTTCCCGAACTACTACAACACGCCTCTTGTTGTTTAAAGTCTATGTCCTTTTCCGTAATGAAATTTCCATTACTGCAAGGTTGCTTAGATTCTTGAGAATCTGCTGGGTGACTGTATATACATTCAAATCTGGAATTATGATTATCAAAATCCAAATTTAACTGTTCGTTATTTAAATTTCCAACAGGCTTATTTTCATCGGTTGCAGTAATATTTGCATTCAAAGCAGGTACATTTCCATTATTTTCAATGTCAGACAGGCTTCTTATTTCATCTTCATCTATCATATCAGAACTCGGTCGATGCAGCACATCCGTTTGTGCTTCCGCTGGCTGTTTATCGCTATCCATTCTAAAAAACTCTCTGAGACTAGCAAAATGCTGTCCCATCATTACCTAAATTGAGACGCATTGTATCCCTTCTAATCTGACTGTTAAGAGTTCGCTACAAAGTGAAATTATATTCGTCACTCTCTTACGATTATTTAGTGTAGTACTATCGTTAGCAACTTCCTGAAACAGAACAAAGTTTAAACACTTTAAATCATAAAAGTATTGAAAACTCGATGATATGAAATCTTATCTTCAATGTACTTTTCCTTTAGTTTTCAATTAAGATAAGTTCAAGATTACAAACTCTGACACTATATAGGTTTTATTTTCATACATGCATTATCTTTAGTTACTTCAAGAGTGTATTATAACTTTACCATGAATCTAATACTAGAATCTACCAGTTTATTCGGCTTTAACAGCAAACACGATATTAAATTACACCTCGGGCAGAGTACAGATTTTTATAATATCGAGACAGGATGCTTTGTGGTTTACAACACTTGCATAAGTAATGACTAAGTGCATATATACAAGAGATTAGTCATAGGTCAAAACGTGTTATTCTTATGATAACTTACCTAGAATATGGATGAAGTTCTACATTAACCACCCCATAATCATTGAAAAATGACATGAAGCACTTGCGATAACTGTTCACTGATTGCAGCCATTTGAAACGTGTTTGGACACGTCTTGACAAGTCTTCCTTGTCCTTTTAAGGTGCACCTTGATCTTAATTTTTTCAACAACATAATAGAAATAATATTTACTTGGCAACTTTGAATGCATGAATTCACCAATAACAAAAAAACGTTCCAATCACAAACATCAAAGGGTAATGAAAAATGTCAAAACACAACTTGATGCCACGGCGGCCATTTTTGATCATTCTGCCTTTCATTTATCAGTGAACCATATTTTAGACGGCTAGCATCACGGTAAGTTGGGCCGCGTCATCAGCTCAAGTTTTTTTAGCGCTTTCCACTGGCTGCACTGTTGCTGGAACTCGAGTATATCTGTTTTCATTCGCAGTTCCAAATTCCAAATCTCGAGACTAAGGTCTGCCCTTTCTATTGGCTCATTCTAGTTAACTCTCGGTTGTAATTGGTTAATCGTTTTCGAGTTCGCTATAACCACGTTCCATTCATCTATATTGTAAATTCAGGAAAATCAGTTTTGTAGAATGCAACGCCGCTTAGTGGAAACCATACTGACGACTTCACGCTATATCAACGAATAGCAGAGATGAGTTAGGAGATTGCTCACGGGCAGGATCGCGCAATCGTATCCTGTGCTGCCCTCTGGTTTCGTACGTTAGCTTTCACCGTTTTTTTGCTCCCAAGGGCGGCACAACGAATTTCTGGTAGGGGCTCAACTCCTCTCTGCGAATTGCTGCGAATAGTACTCTGAGAACACATAAATTTGTCAACATTGTACGCCAGTACAATTTTATAGGTTATGCCTGGGTAGAATAAGGTTACAAGATGGAAATTTGGATGTTAAATTTATATAATTTTATGTCATGACTACTCTACACGATATATTAAATAAATCGACTAGAATATATCAAACATGAGGAATGATATCGACAGAATTATCTTAATTCAAGCTCTGGCCAAGTCTTTTATGAGGCATAATCCAGCCTATGCTTTGGCACTCGTTTTTATTCATTATGTATTGAGTAAATTAAATGCACTGCTGAACATGAAATTGAAAATGAAACCCGTACCTCGGAATGTCTTGAAATACTTAGTAAATGAATGTTGTAATGACACAACTTATATCGATTACAATACATGCATCATAGCAAATCCAATTATTTTGGGTACGCTGACAACCAATTGGTTCAATGTATGTTCCATATTTTCAAGGAAAAAATACAAACTTATAATTCTTCCACATAGCTGTACTAAGAATGATGAGTTACTTGTTTCTGAAACTGTTTTATTTAATGTCAGAAATACTTTGCAGACTGTGGGGCGTGATGATGCGACTTATTTTATAAGTGAGTAAATGTCATCAAATAAAATGGACATTTATACATAAAAAAATCTTTACATTAATTAATTTCTACTTAAAGTATTTTTCTTTCAGTGCCATCATATAATATTTCAGTCAAGTTCGCTACAGAGGCAATGGTCAGTTTAGTGCGAAATCCATTTGATTGCAGCGATGAATTAATCGATGCTGCTTTGCAAAGTTACTTTTCCCAGCCACGATACCTGAGAGTCGATGATCTGTTTTCTATCGACATCAAAGAATATGCCCCTGAATATTTTTACTATACTCCCAGTAGCAGTTTACATGTACTATTTTTTAAAGTTATAAGTATAAAAAACCAAGAACATAATGTAGCTAGTAATGGTTTTTATATTATACAAGAAGAGACAACGCTTACGCAGGGAGAAAATGTCCACAGCTATATCCCAGGGAAATATACCATTGAAATCCCAGAAGAAATTTGTTCTCTCTCGATACAGCTTGGCGAAGGGCAGTATCTGAATAATTGTCCGCCATCTCTAAAAACATCTTTAGAAAAACTTGAGGCGTGTATTTTGCCTTTTATGCAAAAATGTAAGTTTACAGGTACAGCGACTCGCTCTATTTCTTTATTTTAATAATGTTTAACATGACAGCACTTTGCTTTACATTTTCTCTGTAAATCCAGATAACAAGATAAACATAAAACCAGTGTTTCTTGTGCAAGGACCACCAGGGTGTGGAAAATTTAAATTGGCCGAAATTGTCGCCGAGAGGTCGGGATTTCATTTGCTATGTGTAGATTTTGCAGAAGTGCACTCTTTAACGGCAGCACAAACCGAGGCTAAATTGCGAATTGCATTGCATAATGCTAAAAGTTGTGTCCCTTGTATTCTTAAACTGAGCAATATCCAGGTAATCTTAACTACCGATTTTTAATCTCTTGTATTCTCCTTCTTTTATTCTGAACACGCGAGAAAGTCTAAAGATAATATTAACTAAATGCTTTTTGCATTTGTTTCGTTGTAATTAAAAGGTTGATATTTTTACAGATATTTGGTAAAGATTCGGAAGGCCGGAAAGACGAACGAACTCTTTCGGCGTATCTCAATGAGCTAAATAAATTATTTGAAAAGCCATTGAAGTACCCTCTCATTATCATGGCTACGTCTGATATGCCAGGCATCTCTAGTGAATTACTGCAAACCTTTATTGAAACAATAGAGTTAAGCCACTTAGATAAGAGTGAAAGATGTGATTTACTCGAATGGATGCTGCAGAGCAAAGGATTATGCCATGAAACAAATTTATCCAAACTTGCTGGCTTGTATTCAGATTTCGTATACGCAGATTTTGAGACGTTAATACAACAAGCTGTAAAAATTCGATATCAAGAGATGACTCCTCGAGAGAAAATATCATTGATAAAGTTGCAAGATAATGACTTTTCTGCGGCTTATGGTATGACAATTAATATAAATAAATCCCGTTGTTTATTTCGGGCTGTCGAGACATTAACTATCGCTTTTGACGTTATGCTAGAATATCGCAAATTTACGTAATTCCGTCAGCCTGAAAAGCGATTGGGTAACCGATACTATCAACAGATAAGGTGATTCATGAGACGCTCCTGAGAGGAACTGTTTTCAGCAAAAATAAGGACAGAGCTAATGAATATAACCAGTGCTATTTCTCAGAATAATTATTTTTCAGAACAAATGCAGTCAATATCTTCGGATCGAATCGGCGCTCCTCGCATACCGAAAGTACACTGGGACGACGTAGGTGGACTAGCTGACATAAAACACGAAATCAGGCGTAGAATTGAACTGCCATTATTGAGCGATACTAATTTAGGACGATCTGGTCTACTTCTTTATGGTCCACCTGGCACGGGCAAAACTCTACTGGCCAAAGCTATTGCGACGGAGTGTCAACTTCAATTCTTATCCGTGAAAGGGCCAGAGCTATTAAATATGTATGTTGGACAAAGTGAGAAAAATGTCCGTCAAGGTAAAAAAAAAATGAGCTTCAAAGTATTTTAGATCGTTGCTATAAATGTCTGATGATTAATCATTTATAGAATTTGGAGATTAACGAAGTCTCATCTTTGTTTTAGTCTTTGAACGTGCCCGAGCAGCAGCTCCTTGTATTATATTTTTTGACGAACTGGATTCTTTAGCTCCAAATCGGGGCCGAAGTGGAGACAGTGGAGGGGTCATGGACCGCGTAGTTTCTCAACTTCTTGCCGAAATGGACGGTTTAGACAGTTCGAACAGCACCTTTATTATCGGTGCAACAAACAGACCCGATCTTATCGACCCTGCTCTACTAAGACCTGGACGGTTTGACAAAATGTTGTATGTTGGAGTGTACTCCAGCCGAGATGCGCAGCTTGGGGTATTGACGTCACTTACTCGACGTTTCGCAATAAAAAACCGCGAGGCAATTTTGTTAGAAGTTGTCGAACAATTGCCAGGAAATCTAACGGGTGCTGACTTATACGCAGTTTGTTCCAATGCTTGGCTTCTGGCTGTCAGAAGAAATCTAGCAAACGTTTCCGCTAGCAATGACTCTAGATCATTAGAAATCGAATTAACAGTAGAACTGCAAGATTTTCTTCAAGCTATTCGAGATCTAGTCCCTTCTGTTAGCAAAGAAGAGATACTTCGATACGAGAAATTACGGTCCGAATTGTCATCGTGATAATTTACTGGGTAGTTTAATTGTTTTTGTACATTTGTACATTTTTCGAGAATGCTGAAATATAGAACTTGGAGAATAGCTGTGAAGTTAGTGTTTAATACGTGAAAGGTTTGTCGTCACCGCCCAGCAAAATCAAAATAAATGATATCAGCAGCTACTGTCGAGTGTCTGTATAATCGGAAATCTCGAGCAAATCTAACTGTGCAAATGTGAAGAAATTCCTTTCAAAGGAGTGCATATATTCTCACGACACACGGTGTAATTAATTCCGAGAAAAATATTTTCCTTCGAACGGACTCCTATTAATCCAAAGCCGTATCGAGATGAAAGAAAGCGTCACGGAGGACAACTTATAGACGACCGTCATTTCGATTACATTAATTTATTCTGAGAAATACATAGAGTAATTTATACAGCCGATGATTAAATTAATAAGGATTTTCTACTCTACGTATTGCACCGTATAATTAATTACTTTACGCACTAGTGAATCGTAAAACGTCGAGAATCCAGGAACTGCATTGAAGTTGGTTTGGGGATCAACAATTCAGTCTGCTTTGGATCGTTACTAGAATACGTTTTAAGATGCACTAATGAATGTATTCCATGTAGAAAAATAGGATAGCTATATCCACTATTCACTTTTGTATCGACAATAGAATATTAAAGACCTCCCTAGCGAACATTACCTCAGATTTCCTAAGAGATCTCTAAGGAATGTTTCAGAACTTCTCCGAAAGTCCATGCGACTTCTGATTGCGCTTGAACGTTTCCGCGAGAGCTCTAAAATCTATTCGCAGAAATTCGAGAAAAACCTCGAGTCGTGTAGGGAAATATTTCCGGAAGCATCCGGGTACATGAAGCAATCCCAAGAGAACGTAGTCACATACGTGGGGATATCTGATTAATTACTCGGAAATAATTTAAGACTGTTAAAACTCTTAAAATCGTGAATTCCCCGAAAACCTTCCGAACAATTGTGAGAAAATTCCATCGTTTCATACTAATAATTTGTGATCAACTAATTTTTTCTCTGTGCTCATTTGCACGGATGACTAACAGGATTGAAAGTCCCTTGAACTTTAACATCCGACATACATAATCGCCTTTTTCGTGTCGAAATCAATGCAGATTACAATTATAATTTCGAGATTCGGTGCATCTCTCAAACGGCAAAGAACTTACGAAATACCCTAGATGGTTCATATTGCTTCGGGACTTTGTGCGACGTAAAGCCTTCGGAAATACGTTTCCTTGTTTCAGGTCGTTCGGGAAGTCCCGACCAGAAACTCGACTAGAAAAAAGTTTGCTTTTCGGTCAGGACTTTACGAGAGACCTTACATTATTCGCGCCCCGCTGTTCGTTCGTTCCTCTTTGGCGCTATTTACACTACAGCTGCGCTTAATAAACATCGTCGACTATATACTTCGCAAAACCCTTGGCCCAGAAATTATACGACCCACGAGTTAAGAATTGATGTAAAACGGAGACCCAGATAGCAGACGATAAAAATCTTAGCTCCATTTTTCCGCGACTATTGTAGATTAGAATATTAAACACGAGGAGACATATTTCCATGTAAAATATGCTTATCGTACAAAACTGGGATAATTTGGAGTTCAAAGAATCAGCAGATAATCCGAAATCCTAAATCTCATAAACCCGTATTGAGTATGTCTAATTAGTGCGAATGTTTCTTTGATGCTCCTAATATTTGTGTAAAAATTCCTTAAAAATTAATAATTGGAATTTCAAATATTTCCAATAAACGATAGGAATCAGCGGAAGTGAAGCTTTAAATTAACCCTATGTTTCATAACATTTCACTAAACGACTCGTTGAGAAATGAACGGTTAAAAGAATTTTTGCTACTCAAAACTGCTCTTGCTCTCTACGCACGTGAGCCTTCAATTTCTCGAACATTGAAATTCTACTTAAAAATTGGTCAATTTCCAAACCAGCAATTTACTGCCCGACTGAAATGCATTATTTAGTACAGTTTGTATTGATCTTGGGTGAATTTAGTTGTATCAAGTAAATAAGACGTTGAAATCATCTTTTTTTTTTCTTCTTTTTGCGTACGTAATGGTCTTTACTATAGTAAAATATACCTTTGGTCACGGTACATTTGTGCGATCCAGTGATCAGCATCCACAGTCCATATACAGATTGGTAGGATTCAATTAGATCGTTGAGAAATGTCAGGAATCATCCGCGGTACAAAAATCCCGATTCGAAGCGATATCTCCGTTAATCCACACCGAATTGCCTTGAATCGAAATCGGCGTTAATTAATCCACAGTTTTTGTACAAGGTATGCGCGGACGTCTCCGTGTGCAGGACTTGACAACGAATACCGATCTGGATAATCGGTGCACAATTTGACGGTATCCATAAAATGCAAGGTTTAAGAAACATCTAGTGATCTAGGTTCAGGTCATTCCGAAAGGTCCACTATTTTCATATCGATACGTTTACCACTGTTCCCAGATAAGGACATTTTTGGGAAATCTGAAGGATGTCCTCAGGATCGCTGAACGCGATTGTATTTCGGAAATCGCCAGGCGATCCCTAAGACCTTTGTAAATATTTACAGGACCTACTGCTCCAATGGTTCGGGTACATCTCTATTGTATCTTCCATACTATCAGAATGTTCTGTGTTCTTTGGACAAGTGTTCCGACTTGCGACTAACTTGATGGAAAGAATTAATAGTCGGTTGTTTTCGGTGAATCTTGAACAAACATGTTTCAACCGAAGGGGTATTGTTACTCCTCGGAATTAAAGCCTTGCGATGATGTTCAAGTCAGAATTTCAGAATACTTCCAACTTACGTCAAAAAAAAAAAAGAGAGAAGAGTCGCTATCAATTTTTGGAGTCTACAATACCCCTTAACGCGATATAGTGAAATGTAGAATTTGATAGAAAAATTGAACACATCAATACTCTGTGAAACTCTTATCGAAACTTCGAGCGCTACGCGACTATCTCTGAAATTTCCAAGACGTGTTTCACGAAGAAAAAGTGACTCGTTCGCGTTACGATTAATAAAGAAATTTAAATTTAAGGTAATGATAATAAGTGTATATCGTCATGACCCATGTGAGGGTAGGGTACCGACCGTCGAATAAATTTCTGCGTTTCCGCGGGCCTTAGCAAAACATTAACCTCATTCCACGTACAATCGATCAAGCGATAAGAATCGCATATGCAGTTCTTACAATGGAAATACCGAAGACGAAAAATCACCGCGGATTTCGGTTTGTTAGAACATTCCTATCAGAAATCGCACGTCGCAGCTTCGCTCTGTTTAGAATCGCTATTACGACCGTTTCTCTCCTTTCCTTCATCTTTTTTTTTATACACGCCCTTCGCATCTCTATATACATCCTTCTTTGTCGAGATATAAAAACAAAGAAATATGTATATTCCTTGTTTTTATTTATTTATATAGTTTACCTACGAAAGTTACCACGATTCGGATAGGTACGTAGTACGGTGACGCGGCACGGATACACGTACGTGCACATACGTATGCATGTTAAACATAAATATCACATTTGACGAATACGCTACAATAAATAAATAGAATAAACATCATGCAATGGATTCTCTTTGTTGGTGACAATAGTATTATCCCTTAAGTAAACTTTAACGAGTTCCTTAATACGGACTTAAAAGGTACCGAAAAGAATTCATCTCGCGCACCGCTAATCAATTAATCGTATCAATACTTTAATTCGGATGAGCGCAACCTGTTTCTGCCCTTTATCGCCTCGACCTCCAGTTATTCTCAGATCAAACGACATTACAACAATTCTTAGTCTAAGTTGACGAGAAGTCGTTTTTAACGAATATTTCTTTTCAGAACGTCCACGTTAAATCGTTTCTTCTCTCTCTACGGAAAATATTTCTGACTTGCACTCATTCCATTTTATTTACGATTCATTACTTTCTAGACGCTATTACGAACATGGGAATCCAATTTCATCCACGTGCGCTAATCATTAGCATTGACCCGAAAACCGGTTCAAGCTGTACGGGGTCATAATTGTGAAAATATACGGAGCAAGTCAATGATAATGGGATAATTCGATATCAAGAAACGTTTGCCGATATTCGTGCCAAGTGCACGAACACAATTCAGAATAAACTTTGATTTTTGTACGTAAAAAGTAATTAAGCTGCGGCAGTTTAAGGATTCTTATCTCTTAATGGCGAATTTAGTTGACGTAATTAACAGAACCATATCAGAATTATTTCGCCGGTAGTTCGAGTAGTAGTAGTCAGTAGTAATCTAGATGAAATGACTCACGCCAGCGATATCATAATCGTAGTTTACAGAAATTGCAGCCTACGTGGACGGGTTTAACAAAAAAGTATCGTGACTCTTTGCAAGTGAGTCGCGCGATCAACGGGCATTCGATGAAGCACTTCTATCATGGACATTATCCCGGATAAGAGTAATAAGAAAAGAGAAATTTCATAAGAGAATACTCCGAGGGAGACGAAATTCGTACAACCAAGTTGCGCTCATCGCGCGTTATAAGGATCCTGTTAGTCCTTATAGTAAGATCGAACAACACGAGGAGATCGCAGCGACGCCTGGGTGGAACCTGGAGGTGTCGGCAAACTCTGTTCCCGCGAAACTCATCCGTCTCGATCAAGTTCCTCGAGGTCCTTCTTCAAGGGGTGGCGCCCCTCTGAAGGTCCAATCTCAAGATTAAGTCATTCCACGGTCACCTCCTCGGAGAGTATCTTCATCGATTCGGAGGTCACCGGAGAACAGGGCTCGCCGTGAAGGTACCACTATCGAGATGCACGTCAGGTACGTGGGAAAGTCACTCCGGATGCACATCACGCCCGGTTGGCAGGACTCAGTGGTGAGTTCCTTCGGTGACTCTAAAAGCACCCCCAAAGAGCCGAACATCCTGACAAGGGCCTCCCCGTGTTGCAGGTCGTCGGTCCCACGATGATATCCAGCCACTCCGGTGGAAGTTCCGGGTGCAGTCGACTGCCTTCCAGGGTGGTGGCACGAAGGCCCCAAGGGAACGGGATTCCTGGTGGAGGCACTACTTCTGCGATGCGTGTCAGGTACGTGCGAGTCGGTGGATTCACGGCGTACCTGGTCAGGAGGACTTGGTGGCGAACTCGTGGAGGATGTCGCAGGCCATCTCCACGTCGTTCCTTGTGATGCCTAGGGCCCTGATGACGGCATCCTGGGCGAAGCCTAACGCCGTCAACTTCGAGATGTGCTCGACGTTGACGTTCTCGTAGGCGGCCGCTTCCGTTTTGGTCGCCCCGGAACCACCGCCTCCGCCGCCGTCCCCGCCGCCAGCCTCGTCGCGGTCCTTCATCAGGGCCGTCAACCGCGCCCTGTTCACCTCGAGGTTGATGTTCTTAACTACGTGCTGCCGCGTGCCAGGTATAATGATGGTATTCTCGTAGTGGTGGTCCTGTTCGGGGATGTCCTTCGGCGCCTTCGGCGGTCTCGGAGCGGACAGAGGCGGCGGGACCGGAGGTACAGGAGGTGCGGAATGCCCCGGGGGTGCAGGTGCGTGCTTAGAGTGGCGATTCGACTTCTCCGGCAGGGCCGGAGGTGTTCGATGAGACCGAGCATGCGGCCGAACTACTGCAGGAGGTATCGGCGACGGTGAAGAGGCGCGGTGCAGCATGTCGTACCTTGCTTCCGTAGCGACTGGAAAAGCGAAAAGTAACGTTAGAAACCACCTCTAAAAGGTATGCGCGCATTAACTCTGCTCTACAATATTTACCGTTTCCTCTAACTTTACCTTTGTTATTTGGCTGGCTCTCGCTAGAGGCTGATAGAATGACGGTGACGGAAGGTGGCGGTGGAGCGTTCTCCTTGGGGACTGTCAGATGACGGCCATTCCTTGGATGGCTGTTAGGCGTGGGCGACGGGGAAGGTCTCCTTGGAGGCAACGGGGGACTCGACACGATTCTTCGAGGTGGCACCGGGGAACTGGGTGGACTCGAATCCTCCTCTTCGTCGGAGTCGTCGCACATGAGACCGCAGTTGCCGTTGCATAGCTCCATAATGTCCTAAAACAAGGGAGACAAGCGTTACTTCGACCCCAACCATAGACGTCGACGTGTCGGGAAAGTATACGTGTACGATATGTCGGGTTGATAGGTTTTTGTCAAATGAAACTAGTACGGTGACAGTCTATCTTCGGGGAAATTAATCGTAACCTCGCTACCATTTTGAACATCTTCCCAAGAGCGATACAATTATCGAGCTTACAAAATTGAATTGCCCACCCTCGTGGTACCGATTATATTGGCTTGAAATCATCGACTGTACATCCGGAGGAGATTAGCGGACGTTATGCGAAGGCTGTGTGAAAGAGCAGCAAAATATAGGGATTGGAGAATGCGAGAGTCGTTTATTATGTTACAAGCGCACTATGCACTGTGCATCTCGCCGGGGGTGCAGAATTGTCGCGATAGGCGTATAAAGAAAAGTATACATTACCATTGTAATTGAACAGTCCTTGACCCACCGAGAATTCCTTGAGATATGATAAAGGTGCTTGGCAACGGTACCGCAAAACAAGTTATAGACTTAGTAATTAAAGAAGCGCAAAGGACCTTCCAGGACGGCCCTTTTTATCAGCTACTTGTAAGTACACCACCGTACTGACACAACACGGGGATAAATGCCATGCTTTGCTACGCGCAACGACGATGCAATTAAATTCCTAAACGTCGTACCTCGACGTTTAACTCGAAGAGAAATATTTATGTGCACGACGTTGGCTTTTCGACCGATTTTACCTTTCTTTCAAATCCTTCTGGCGCAACTAGTACGCGATCGTATCACCGAAGCGTAAAGCGATGAGCCATAATGCAATGTACTACTTACCTTAGTTCCGTCTTAACAATCGCGCTCTCTATCATCATTTCTTTTCTTTTTCTGATTTTGTTTTCTTTTTCATACGTTACACATTAGTCTTTTCATGCAGCGGGCAGAGCATTGGATCCAATGGACAACACAGTAAAAATAATTGTAAAAAACGTTCATGCGAGAGCAATGCGGGACGATACCATCGTACATCGAAATACCCTGTTGCTGGAGCAACGATTCAGGGACTGGAGAGAAAGAGAGAGAGAGAAAGATAGAGCGTATGATTAGAGTCCAGCAAGAGGGGATCTGTGTGAACGCATAAGGAACTCAATATAATGATAAGACAGTATACTTTTATTTAAAAATTGCTTTCAGATACCTAGTATTTTACAATAAGTAGAAAAGACGTACACTAGAATTAAATGATCACTAACATTTATCTAGACGCGCCACTGCTTTGTTGCACGGCAAGGAATGACCTAAGTTAAGCGCTACCATTAATTGTACAAATAACACTCGATGACGCAGCGAATGAGCTTTCAAGATACACGGATATACGTATATATCTTACATTCGAACTGCCCCGTCTGTGCTGGTATGACTAAAGGAAGGAAAAAAAAAAAGGTTAACAGAGGTCCGTCCGAGTATTGTCTAAATAAAATCGAGTGGCGAAGAATGGACGGACGGCCGGCGCAACCGAACTCGTTCGACCGAGAATTGCATCCACCGGTTGCATGGAAATGAACGTGTGCAACGATTCAACTTCGCGGTAGCATGGGTGCGAGGAAATGATCTCCTCGAGGGGACATATTGTTGACGGGGAACCGATTTGCAACATGCATGTGTGGATCATCCGTGTCGAAAAAGAGGGGGAAAATAAAAAAAAAATAATAGAGACGTATATTAGTATTTTAGTTCGTCGTGCATGTAACGTGAAATGACTGTCCGCGGAAAAACGAACGGAATTTCATGGGTTTCGATCGAATATTATCGACGGCATTTCATTTACATTCCCCCAGGCAGATTTTTGGCACATCATTTTGTACTCCACTGTTTGCCCCCACGTCTCTCGAATAAATGCGAGCGAATAAATTCGTTGCACCGAGTTGCGCGGGACAGTCACCAGAGGAGGCAGAAAGAACGACGATGTTTCCCCCGAGAATATTCCCGCTCGTGTTCTACGAGGATACACTTGGAGTACGCATGGTTATTTGTGCAAAAAATCTGGTACTGCTTTACCGGCGCAATAACGTAACAATCCCCACGGAGTTGAACTCCGAATAAACGAAACGCTCCTGTTATACTTCGCTAATACTTATTTCATATTTTCCATAAATTATATAATTTTCTATATTATATAGAATTTCCGATTTTCGTACCTCTGTATGCCCTCCTTTCAATGCAAATTGTCTATTTATCTCCGATTAATCGTATAAGGTACTATTCGCAGGTAAGATAAATGAATTGCAACATGAGCGCATCAGCGTCCGTTCGGCCCTTAAAGTTAGTGGACGAGAAGAGGCAGAGAAAAAAAAAAATAAAAACAAATAGAAAAAGATAGCGAGGTTTCCGATACCTCGACGTAAGAAATGGCACGATTGTGATTAGCCAATCATGAAAATAGCGAGCCAAATTGGTTAAGTTTTACGTCCCGTGCCAACCCCTCATCCGCAGGAGTCGGCGTGAAACTGAAAATCATCGTTATCCCAAAGCAGCAATTCCATCGCTCGATAAAAGAAAGAAAAAAAAAGGAGCCTTTGTTAGTTACCGTCACAAGTGATGAAATAAAGAGAGCGCAGCTCGCATGGAAAGCTGAAGACGGCGCAGCTTACTGGATGCATATGAGGGAAACCTACCTTTCGGAACATGTCCTTGTTTTTGATGATTCTTGAGAAATTTCTATCGACAAGTCTTTTAAAGCACGCTGGACAAAACAAACCCGAAAGTGTATAATGAGTGAGGTATAAGTTCATGATGAATGAATAGGATATACTGACGTATCGAAATTGGTATCACAGTTCTTCGATGTAGTAAGAGTTAGTGCCACTACTGAGAAGATCGTAATGCGAGGACGAAGGCAGATTCAAGCTCAGTGAATTCGTCTCCTGCGCCTCGATACGACATTTTCAAATAATACTTCGAACCCTAATGTTATATTACAAAGCAGGTAGGACGTTACTCTAAGTTTCATGTAAAGAAGACAAAACCAAACCGAAGGTCGTGTGATCTCGTAAGACGTTATGTAACGATATAGGATGACTTCTTCGATGCATTATATTAATGACGTTGCGAAAAAACGTGAAATGCTATTGAAAATAAGGCATACCGTGGGAGGTCGTTACACATAGGGCACGTTTGATAATGGAGGGTAGATACTAGTCCTAGTCGGATACCTCGGTGTCAGGGTCAAGGTCCCGCGTAGGGGTCGACGCATTACTCGCCGACGCAGAATGCGCTCCAGGACGATGGGTTCTTCGAGGATCAAATGGGTCCACTACAATCTGTTCCGTACCCTTAATCTCCGCTCGGCAAAAAGGACAACCTTGACCTTCCGAATCCTGAAAAGAATTGCCAAGCTGCGTTTAGTAAAAATAAGGGTGAAATCGGATCAAAAAATTAAATTAGCCATTTTTTCTCGACAAGGTTGTAACGCCGCTATTTCGTCCTTCCGGAGTCATGCAATGAAAAGTACATCGATTTTTCGTAACCGTTACAAGGCTTTAACTCGATGTTTATTTTACCCATACCGTGAAAGAGTTTGTATTAAAGAGTTCTTGTCACGATATATACATTTGTTACCGTATTTCTATGAGCTTTAACGATACTAGAGTCAACCTAGATTCGGGAGGGAGAAAGGCTATAATGTTGTTGGCCTCATTCTAGACGTACTTGCAAGTGGTGTATGTATTAATCAGGTGTTCCACTTTTGTGCTCTATTTCTACTTGAATACAGCATCTAGTGAGCTGAGGAAGCTCGTTTTAATTAGAATTCATGAAAAGAAGAGGTTAATTTTATAAGTCCTTTGTGGAATGACAGTTTTCATTCTCTTACCGGTCTCATTTAACGTCAAAGTAGAGAATAGATATTATTACCTGCCAAGCCGTGAGACATGGAGTGCAAAGGAGATGGCCGCAAGGTTCTATTCTCACATCCTTGTCATGTTCCGCACAGATTTTACATAACTGGAACGTGCTACCCATTTCGCAGTACAACTCGTACTGTTCTGCAGTCACTTTTATATGTTCTTCCGGAGTTGGCTGTACTGCCCACGTCAAATCAGGATTTATATTACGTCCATCAGGATATAAATAACTGAAAATAAGTTTTATGCCAATTATTCGATTCGAAGTCTCGATACCAAACAGAGTAATGTAAAAGTTACTCACAAGCCTTCCCGATACCCATCTAATAATGCTTGACATAGACTCTTATTGTGTGGTATAGTTTGAAGAATATCACCATCTGACGTAACATAGCCAATTGCCCATTGCCCTAACCTTGTACAACTTAACCGAAAGACATAGCTCCCAGGTTTAGTTATACAATATTTTTGTAAACGAGCTTTCACTTCGTCATACGTGAGGAAAGCCACGTATCCAGGATGCGTAACCGCTAGGATCTTCCAATTTTGTAAAAGGGTCGACCATGGCTGAAATAACCTGTAGAAATGATAATAAATAATAAAGAAGTGCCTGCAATATCTACATCTATATTTCTGTAACTAGATATAATTAGATATTTCTAAATACCTGGTAAATACATCGAACTCAAAATTTGAGATGTAGTCGTTGCATGTAAGATCTATCGTTGACTTTAAAGCCATAGCTTGCAGTCCCGAGCTTATAGGATGAACTTGATTAAGTTCATGTCTGAACTCCTTCCACGTCACCAAGGTGCTGAAACAAAAAATAACACGATAGTAAATCGCCCTGAATTACATCTTACATCTGTGACGAATTCACATTTTACAGCAACTCAGCATATATAAGAACAAAAAATTCCAGTAACACATAACATACTTCAAAATATTAAGATTAAGGTTATATCAGAAAAAAGTCCTAAATTTAGGTCGCTTATCGTTCTCGATTCAGATCACAGTTAAAGTTCATTTCATCGCATTAAAATTCAATATTTTTTCCCCAGGCAAAATACTGCACCTTATGTACAATTCAAATCTTTATAAGAAGTTATCGCAAAGTCACTCTATCGTATGCGATAAATTCAGAGAAATATTTTTCGCCAGAGAACACGTTCCCAATACAGAGAGTCAACATTGAAATGAGCGTCACTCGTATTCAATTCTTATATTCATAATTCTGTTATTATTCGAGAAAGGGAGTGTATAGTATTCTTGAAGTCGTGAAATGATAAAATCGTCGATAGTCCTTCGGTAGGTGCAAGTCACGCATGATGTAACATCGATGAGTAAGATTAAATATTTAAAGGGACACCCGTTATAAAGCTTGTCCACTTCTCCAAGGGTAGAGCCGCTCAGTGCACGTCAGTAGGCGTGTGGAGAGCGGTCGCTACGTTGGTTCCTCGCGTAAAATAACGCACAAAGTTGCCGGTAAGTCTCCGAACTTGTGACATCTAATGCCAATCGGTTAATTCGCGTCCTGGGTGGTTAATTCCTCGGAATGTCGTGATACTATCGCATTGTCAGTCGTTAAAAGAAATTGCAAGAATTACTTTCGGCTTGTCTATTATGGCCGACCGCTGAGGTTCCCGAGTCGCTCGACGGATGGCGCCACTGACGGTGTCTTGGTCACGTATTGCGCAGTCAGTTCATCTTCCAGTATTTCTTTCGGCAAAGTTGAATTTGGATTTAACAAAATTGTAACTTTACTCTTTTACAATATTCTTATATAAAAATTACTAGTCTCTACAGGAGCAGCTACGAAAATCAATAAATAATAGGCTGCCTTCCTCGTTTCAGGTGCATCTGAAGTACAGTATTTTTTTTTAAAGACAAGACCAGAATGCGTATTTTAAGACTGACGGTATTTACGCAAGGATTACAACTTATAAGAAAGAATTCATCAGGCACGTACTGAGTACCCGACATTGATATTTGACTAGGATGAATTGACGCTTAAAATTTTATAACTGCTCCTATTAATACGATAAACCCAACAGAGACGTATCTTTGCATTAGCTGCACGATATATCAAGCTTGCATATTTCCTTTACTTTTCCATTAATTTGTGCTTTAGTAAAAGATTTGTTACGTCGTTGTTTGAGCCCTTCCTAGATACTATGTAATTAAAATTGAATTTACCACGTTGATACAGCTAATGAATAAAATAAAACGTTGACCGAGTAAAGGATTTGCGTATTCCTGTTTGTTCATGATTCATCGTGGAATATTCAGAAGTAGATATAAAATTTAACACTTTAATTTCAGACATGAGTGGGAATGCAGATTTCAAATCAGCCAAATCGATTTATGATTTCACGGCGAATTCAATTAAAGGGGAAGAGGTTCCTTTGTCCAAGTATGAATGCTTTACTATTTTTCATATGTAAAGAAAAGACAGGAGATTTAAGTGAACAATATTTCCAGATACGAGGGACATGTTTGCTTAATTGTCAATGTGGCGTCTAAATGTGGCTTAACACCTACCAACTATAAAGAATTGAACGAGCTGTACGACAAATATGGAGATTCACACGGTAACGATGCCTTCACAGATTTAGAAACTTGTCTACGGGACTGAAAGTAATTTCTATAAATATCTCATTTTAAATATCAATTTTTAAGGTCTGCGTATCTTGGCATTCCCTTGCAACCAATTCAATGGACAAGAGCCTGGAAACAGTGAAGATATTTGCAGCTTCGCGGATCGTCAAAAGGTATTTCAGTGTCAATAATTTTGACTGAAAAAGAATTATCAACAAAATTGTTAGCCACTACCTTTACATATACTCAGGCTTTAATCTCGTCCTTTGTTACAGGTGAAATTCGATCTGTTCGAAAAAGTGAACGTCAATGGGGACGATGCTCATCCACTATGGAAATACTTGAAGAAGGAGCAAGGAGGCACCCTGGGAAGCTTTATCAAATGGAATTTCACCAAATTCATCGTTAACAAGGAGGGGAAGGTCGTCGAACGACACGGCCCAAACGTGGACCCAAACAAACTGGGAGCCAACCTGGAGAAATACTTTTAAACATTATCCACACGTTAAATACCGATATTTATCACGCTTATAACTTTCATAAACCTTAGACAGAGTATCGTATATCCATAACTAAGCACGAGGCTTTTTTGCCGTTGATATGGCCGGGCCGAATAAACGTATCTATCGATATTAGTGATTTTTACAATGTACGTATAATTGAAAATATACGGCACGTAATGTACGCTTCTTAATTCGAAAATGTACGAGTTAAACCAGGTCGGGAGACCTGCACGAAACCAGTGACGTAGGCATGACCTTCAGACCATCTTAAAGTCTCGAAAGTAGCGCGTGGTCCTCCTCGAGAAGGACCCTGCGAGCGATAATGAGTAACCCGACAAAGGAATTCCTAATGAATCTCCGACTGTACATCTACATCGCGAGCATTATTACGTCCAGAGCAGGGCATACAAAGCGCGAGCGAACTAACCAGGGCAAACGACTGCAAACATAGTAATCACAGTAGAGCAGGTAGGTCTGCAGCAATGTGCAGAACCACGATTGCGTGAAATGCAAAGATACCTTCGAGTATGTAGCGACTTAATCCATGCTCATTCTCCCAGGTACACATCCGGTAATTGGAAATTTGGATTTCAGTATTTCCAAGCGAACAGCGTGGGGACAATTATCGCTACTCCAAATACAGTGTAATTAACGATCGGTACGCAGGCAAAGTATGTAACCCTGGGACGCGTACCGTCGATATCCTTGGGCTTACAGTAATCACGATGTATTATTACGAACCGTAGGGAAAAATAGACACCGTGATTGGGAATATCTCGGCTACGTGGTCCGATCCGAGTACACGTGCATATTAAACGAGCGACAAATATCACCGCCTGCGATCTAAATCGTACCTCACATCGACCGAATCGCGGCTAATAATACCGTCTTTTACGCGCCACTCTCCGTATACTCTCCTCATTACTCCGAGCGAAAGTTGTGACGAATATACTTCCCGCGGGTAATCTTAGAAATTCATGAATCGCGATCTTGGCCACGCGGATGGGAGACGTCTAAAAAACATGTTTACGTAGAGAGCGTTAGGCGCGTCTGCACCTAGGTATAAGAATAGTCTATAAACGCATTCAAATCTATTGTATCGGAATACCCGATTTATCGGGCCCGTCCGGACGGTCTTTCGGTGGAACGTGCGAATCGTATTATTAATTTATTCGATTTTCAATTGCATTCCGGCTAAGCCGAAGTCATCCCGTATTTTGACTACCGTAGCCTAAACGAATTACCTATGCCGTACTCTAAAGGAATCTCGGAGTCAAAGAAGCCTCGAGACTCTATTTTTTCGTGTCCATAACGAGTGTTACCCTACTTCTAGGGTGTTCGTTCTTGGGTGCGACCCGTGACCCCGTCTAACGATAATATATTCCCGTTGATAGGGCGCTCATCGAGGCACAAAGGCTCGAGATCACCGCACCGGTAAAACCGGGGGACCCCAAAGGGCGTTCACGTCAGTTCTAGCATGAAATGGTCAACCCTTCGTGCCCACTCGACTATCACGGGTCGCCACTTTTCGGTCCGCGTAGGACGTGCGACCTATGCACCCGTGCAGAACCTCCGATATCGCGGTCCGTCTTCGTCCGAGCTCGTTTCCTCATTAAAGGTCGATTCGTCCCGTCCGATCGGAGCCGGAGACGTGGAGTTAAAGTTCCAATAAAGGCAGATATATTTATGCTATCGATATAGTTTAAATACCGAATCTAAATCTCTCATGTAAATACTCTTTATAATAAATTATGTAAAAACGATAAACCATTTAACTGCGTTTAACGTGTGTGTGTGTGTGTGTGTGTGTGTGTGTGTGTGTGTGTGTGTGTGTGTGTGTCATGTCATATGTCAAATCAATATGTTGTTTCGGGAAATTTCGCAATTAATTGGTTAAATCGCTGAAAATGCTACGAATAGGAAGGATAGACCTTTAAAAAGTAAACAATGGCATTTAAACGTAAGTTTCTAAATTTTGCCGAACTCGCGCCGGGACGTGTCGGAACCGATACGTGACGGATAGTACGAATCGACTTTCAGCCGTGAAATCCGTCCCGCATTGCTCGCACGCCGTTAGCTGGTTATCGAATCCCCTATTTGCAGAGCCCTATTCCAACGTCTGCGTAAAAAAGTCGATAAAAAAACAATGGCCCTCGTAACGGTGAAACCTCGATATATTGTCGTAAAAATTGTCGATCACAAACCCGTCAATGATATCCTCCCGCCTCTCGGACCAAATTCAAGAGTCGAGTTCCCTATTCCAAGATCTAGAAAGAAATCTAATAAATAACAACGGCCCTCGTAAAGATGAAACCTCGGTATTGTCGTAAAAATTGTCGATCACAAATCCTTCAATGATTTCCTCCCGCCTCTCGATCCAAAGGCAGGGGTCGAGGCGAGATTCGAAGCATCGTCCGAGCGCCTCGAGCGGACACTTATGACAATGTGTGACTTGTGACCTCGGTTGACGATAATAAATTATCGCCGATAGGGTGCTCGTGGAAGAATAAACGCCGGGAGCCGTATCGCCGGTGGGAGGCTAGATAAAGTCGGCTCCTCGGAAGGGCGCCTAGGGGCCTGAAACGGCGAGTGATCGGCCGATATTAACGGCTCGATCTGGCCTTCCCATTCCTCGATGTGGAGCACGGATTCGTCCCCGAGGGCGGTGCGCATCCCTGCACCCGGTGCATATTGATTTCAGAATCAAGCGGGTGTCCCGCTCGCCCTGTTTCTCCCTCTGGCCGCGTCGTCGCGTCTCCGATTTCCGCGCATCCATCGCGGATTAAAATCCCAGCTGGACCCGGTATCGAGAATCCGCGATCGCCAATCGCCGTCCCCGCGTAATTGATAATCGGTCGGATTTCATTCGATTTCATCCGATTTCATTCACAACGGCGAAATCCAGAAAATGGTTCGTCGAATGATTTATCGAGGGGCGAGCATCGACGCGACGACCGATCGATATCGATATATGGACGATTGGCCCATATAATTGATAAAACGCGACCGGCTAGACGAGACTTCGCGAAAACGCGAGTCGGCGATAAAACGCAGAGAGCGGGGCCTCGTCTAGGAGAAGCGGAAGTGGCTAGTGCCGGCTCGCCGCTCGCTATCGATAAGGGTCGGGCTTATCACCGGCGACGCGGAGACGAAGGGGGCCTCTGAAATTCCCTCGCTCTAGATATAACCCGAGAGCGGGTCTTGCCGCTAACGCTCACGGAGGACGTAAGAGATACTTGCGCTATAATTAGTCGTCCTTGCTCGTCGGCTGATCCGACGCCCGCCTCCATTCATAGAACGCGTCTTCCACCCCGCGCTCTCTGCCCCGATATACGTACTTTAATATATATATATATTTTATATATACAAGTACATATACATACATACATATACAGGGTGTACAAACCAGGACAAAACGGAGATGAATGCCCGTAGATTTTTTTTCCTGCGGTACATTGGTCGTCCTTAATAATTAATTGAAAAATAGTCAACCGGGCGCGAAAGATTGGGAGGAATGGTTCTCCAACCTGCGTTGCGGACAGCAGAGGGTGACTTAAACGCGTTCTACCAATATATTCACGTAAACGCGTAGAAATATATTCACGCGGCATATTCCGCAAGTTCAGAGCCGCTGCCGACCCGACCTCAGCCCGACCCCAACTCGCCTGGGCTCGACCTCGATTTCCAAGGACCGGCCTGCACCGTCGCTGACGCACCTTCGAGGCTCCGAGGAGCTCTGCGCACCTCCGTGGCCCGATGCACCGGGGCAAATCCGAGTATCGCAGCCTCGGTGGCTCGATAACGAGGAGACGAGCGATAGGCCTACGGAGATGTTGAAAATCACCAAAACAAGATCTTGAAAATCGTAAGAAAAAAATCTCGGAAATCTAAACGATGTCGAAATTCCTTGAGAAAAAAACTCGTAATTCCTCGAAAAATGTATAAATTCCAGGAATAAAGAACCTTGGCTCCTTTCGGACGTCTTGCCGATTTCGAGAGGTCCCGGAACGAGTCGTTTCCCGCGCTTATCTCCGGTCTGGATCCGCGTCTGCAGCGGAGGAGCTCGCGGAGAGGCGAATCCGCGAGAATCCGAGGGCGTTCCCCGTTCCTCGGGGAGTGCACCGTCAGAGTTTCCGCTCGGCCGTTATCGGGCTCGCTTCCAGTACCATGAACCGACCGCCGAGTAAATCTCTTCCTTACCTCTCGCGGTCATACGTAACGTATCGCGATGAGGTCGCCATCGCATCCTGACTTTTTTTCGTCAGGTCGACCGGCAGATGCAGCGCGCGAGGATATTGGAAGCGACCCAGGTCCTTCTCGACTCGTCTCTGGCAATTCGGCATGCGACATCGACGCGCGTCGAGCGTCGAACAGGGCGCGCCGCGTCGCCGCGTAGGGGATCGAAAAGAAATCCGAGCGGCGGCGGAGGTGACGCGCGAGTTTAAGCGTCGGGCATCACACGGAGCGCGGCGCGTCGACGCGTCGGGGATCGAATATAATACGCAAAACTGGAAATTAAGGCAAATTCGAGACGCAAAATCTAAGGTATGGGTACGTAAACATGAACAATGCGTTCCCTCGATTTCTCTCGTTAAAATTAGTCCAATTAGTGCCATTAACTGTGTCAAGGAAATAGGTGCATTAGTCGGCCGTCGTTATCGGCCGATTACGGTGCGGCGGTCGCCTCTGTCGGATTTCGACGAAGCGACCCGCCGCCCATTGCGAAATTCGAGCGGACGTCGTTATCGAAAGGATGTTGGATGCGCCCCGCGCGTTACGGCGCCGCGACTGACTCATTTCCGGCAGGGCAAATAGTGTTCCGCTCGCCTATTCCATTCCTACGCAACGCCCTGCCGGTGTGTTTACTCCGGCCGATCTCTCCCGGCCCCGGGAATGACCGACGTCCATTCATCGAACCGCGGGCGAACGCGAGCGCTCTTTTATAACCGCGTCTCCCCTTCGCGACGCGCGTTCCCTCGTCCGCGGGAAACCGTGATTAACGCGAAAGAAAAAAAAAAAAAAATCCACAAAATACGTCGTTCTATACATAACAATGTTTTCCTTCAAAACCTCGCTTCCACGTATATACTTCCAAAAAATAAATGCATATCTATTCGGCAGGATCATGATTTCGAAACGAGGAATATCGAAACAAATGACCCGATTAACGGAAGAGAAAGAAAAATCAGCAGAATACCC